ACAAGAATTCAACCAGCTACGAACTACTTATTTTGATGAAAGAGAGCAGTAGAACAACAGCACCTACATCGCATCAGGCTTGGATACCCATGTGCATGTGAAATAAGCTTACAGATTCGGGAAGATGAGAGGAAATGTCAGATCACTGGAACATTATCTAACACAGTGCACAGTTACAAACCCATTAAGATTTCAACTTAGATTCAACAGAGCAAAAGTTGTTGTTAAACACGTGGGGCAAAATCTTACTGAAGCGACCATACGAGTCACAAATACTCTCACTCCGCCCAAGTAAAACAGAAACAAGCAACACTTAGTGGGCCAGCCAGAGGCTTAGGGCCCGCGCAGGAAATATTCATGCCCCCCCCCCCCTCAAAAATAATAAGAACTGACTAACTCCTGAGTACCTACTTACTGATAGGTGAACAGGTCTATTAGGTTTAAGGAAATGTGCTCAATCATTTCGTTCCCGGCCGGGATTTGAACCCGGTATTCTCGATTGTGAGTTGAGAACGAACCCGACTATAATACCGGGACCCTAATGGGACCCAAACCCATCCTGTGAATGGGAGTGGACTCCATAACAATATCCTTTGAGATAATAATAATAATTATTATTATTAAAATAATAATAATTATTATAATAATAATAATAATTATTATCATAATAATAATTATTATTAAAATAATAATAATAATTTTATATTAAAAAATAAACATAACAAAATCAAGCGTTCGTTAATTTGTTGTTAGAAAAACTGCATAATAAAAAAAAGCCACAGAATGGGTATGGGGCCCCGTTACAACTCACAGGATTAGTACATCTGCATATTAGATGAATTAAACTAAAATAAAATGATAAGTAATGAATAGTATCGTTCGTATTGTTCACGCCCCTGAGAGAGACGTGGCACCACCGCCTGTTCGCTCGCTCACGTGACTGCTGTGAAACGTTTCCTGCGGACAGGCGTACCAACCCCGCACTGCCGCACGCTTTCAACACACTCACGTACCAACCCCGTACTGCCGCACGCTCTCTCGCTAATCCCACCACCCACAACTTTAAGGCCAGATGCGACAAAGAAGTTGAACGTTAAACCAGTTTAGTTGTTAAGCAAACATTTACAACCGGGTTAGTAATTCGGACATGTTAAAGGCGGGCACCCCACCTTCGGTAGGCGGGCATAAAGAGCTGTAGCTCTCACTCCCCCGTGGACACTATTAGATAAGCACAACGTTATTTTTACGTTGTTAAAATACAAACAACGTGGTGGTTGTGTGCTTGGAGGGGGCAAGTGACTTCACAAACAATTCCACAGACAAACACACCAACGATATACGCGAAATCACAAAGCCCAAAACACACACACACACACACACACACACAAATATAACGAACAAACCGCCTACCAACACAAACTACCCACACATACAAACCAACTACCCACACAAACAAACCAGCTACCCACACAGATAAACTACACACCCACACTAACCAACCAGCTATTGCTGTGACGTCGTCCGGGTAGCCCGCCTCTTCCGAACACCAAAAGTCATACTCTCCGCACTTTTGTGCGTGTACGACGACCCAGTGATTCTTTTGGTTCAAGTTAGAAGCCAACAGAATATATCGTTTGATTTGTATTTATTTATTCAAATTTGAAGGGAGGGGGGGGGGATAGCCAAACCGACCATTTTCAAACATGGCGACGGTTGGAGTTGACGCCTGGACGAGATGTTGGCGCCCGAGAAGGGACAAGGTGCAGGAAGCCCGGATAAGAGAAAGGGGAACATGATGTTGCTTGAGCTGTCCAGATGAGTTGACGAACTATGCTTAGCTCCCGAGTGGTGAGATATCGTTGATGTGTTATCACACTTGCGCTCCTTGCACTATCACACTTCCTAGGACGGTGTGAGAGCGCAAGGAGCGGCCTATTAAATCTTCAGGTGCAAGACTTCATTGAACTACCCAAAGCTGCAGGATCGAGGTGCAACTCAGAAGCAGTTGGCTTCTGAGTTGAAGCCTGTTTTTTGTGGTCGGGAACCACAAGTCCAGGCTGTGCAGTGACAGGCAGTGATCGCTCCACTCCAGAAGCTCTCCTCGACGGAGGACCGGTAGGCCTGAGGTATGAGAACGCAGTGGATAACAACATCACTGCTTGCAACCATTGACTCCCCGATCAGTGAAGCACTTCTAAAATGAGGGAAACCAGTGCGTGCAGTAAGCTGACATTTGCAGTGAAGTACTAAACTGAGAATGAGCAGTGCTTGCGATGAAGGCTTTCTTCTCTATGGGGGGATTTGCAGTGAGCAACAAACAGTGAAGCATCGATAGGGCCAGAAGCAGTTATTAGTTTCGCCAGTGACATAATGCCATGATAACTACAGCAACGCCTGTGACGTTACCAGTGACATTTTGCGTGTGACTGCCTTCAGGAGTCCCCTACAGGAGTCATCACTTATTTCCCGAGTAGCGAGAAGCTGCAGTGGGAGACCCAAGGTTCAAGTGTGCCTGCAGGCATTGATAGGTACCCCATTCTGCGACAGGGGGTTCGTTTGTGTGTTGGCTTCGTGTCTCAGAGAGGCGACAAGTTAGCGGCAGTAGATATCCAACCCATAACTGAAAATGAAAGAAACGACGACGTTTGCTCCGGTCTGGAGCCTGATTCACGACAGCACTTACGCAAACACTTACGAACCTGTACATTTTTTCTCAATCTTTGGCGGCTTTGTTTCCAATTATTAAACAGCTAATGAATTCCGAAGCACCAGGAGGCTGTTTACAACAATAACAACAGTTGATTGGGAAGTTTTCATACTTGTAAACTGTTTAATAAATCTAAACAAAGCCGTCAAAGATTGAGGAAAGATGTACACCTTCGTAAGTGCTTGCGTACGTTCTTTCGTGAATCTGGCCCCTGGACCATTATCAAGTCGTGTTATGGAAAGACAGTGGATGAGAAAACAATGCAATGGATGAGAGTGAAATATGAAAGTCGAGGAGAAGATAAAAGTGAAGATTAGAATAAAATGAAAGGTAAGTATAGGATGAAAGAAAAATAAGACGAAAGGTACGAATAAGATGAATCGAAAGAATAAGAGAAACAGGTAAGAATAAGAGAACAGTTATACATAAAGAGAATCGGGTAAAGTAAAAGAAAAAGGAAGGAAGGAAGAAGAAAAGGAAAAATATATACATGCAAGATACTGGAAGGTCAGGTCCTAAATTTGCACAGTTTGAATAACAACATACTGGAGCGAAAGATACGGAAGGAACTGCAGAATAGAACCAGTGAAGAGCAGAGGTGCCATACGCACAATCAGAGAGCACTGTTGACCAGACCACACACTAGAAGGTGAAGGGACGACGACGTTTCGGTCCGTCCTGGACCATTCTCAAGTCGAATATGAGAATGACAATCGACTTGAGAATGGTCCAGGACGGACCGAAACGTCGTCGTCCCTTCACCTTCTAGCGTGTGGTCAACATACTTTAGTCACGTTATTGTGACTCATCGCCTGCAGAGAGCACTGTCTGAATATAACGGCTGTTCAATATTCTCCCAGCAAGCATTAGAAATACAGATAGGTTCTTGCAATACCTTATCCCATTATTACACTCATCCCATTCGTACCTTTAATACTTTCTGACCTTTCGTCTTACTTTTACCTTCTTCTAGTAATTAACTTTTTATCTTACGTGCTTCTCATCTCATCTTTCCTTATGTATTGCCCGTTCCTTCCGTCCTCTCCTTTTTTTTTACGGTCTATTCATGCTCGAGCCTCTTCTTAGGTGATTTAATCTTAATCAATTAATCTCTTTTTACGGGCTATTCATGTCCGTGCCCCATCTTGGGTGGCTTAATCTCCATCAATCACTCTCTCTCCCTCACATACGACTTGATAATGGTCCAGGATGGATCGAAACGTCGCCATTTCTCCATCTTCTGAAGTGTGGTTTGGTCACCAGCATATATATACATTTTCTTCTGTCCTCCATGAACATGTTTAGAGATATGTTAAACATGTAGTTCAGTGATTTATTGAACTCTCAATCACAGAAGTGGGCTTTTAAAATGCTAATCTAACTGTCATAGTGACAGTATTGGGCTGCGTCACTCATCCTGTCGGGCTGCGTCACTCATCCTGTTAGTGAACATATCAGCATGTACAGCCTCCCCTTCCCCCCATAGGAAGATCACCCTGTGGGTTGTTCATCCTGTGAGTGAACATACCGCCATAGCAGCCTTTACAAACACTCACAAATAGGAAGAACACCCTCAGAATTGTTCATCCTTTGAGTGAATCTACCGCCAAAACAGCATTTACAACCCCCACCCCCATCCCCAGTAGGAAGAAAACCCTCTGGGTTGTTCATGCTGTCACTTATACTCAGACGCAGTTGAGACTCTCCAGCCTCATGCGAATAGACTACCAAACAAAGGATCATTAACATCTTGCAAGCCCCAGGTTTACCATATCTTGAGGCTGCAAAATACCGGGGAACCTTTTAAAAGGACAGTAATTATAATTGACAAAAAGTATTTTTCTATATCAAACAATGTGGTGTTTATTTTGCTATATGTATTTATTTCGTGTCTCCAGAAACATCTCCGGGACCAAAGAGCTGAAGCTCAACCCCCGCAAGCACAACTAGGTGAGCACATGTGAAGTAACAATGTGGCTTCAAAGAGTATTGTTTATTATCTAATAAAACGAGACATGAGGCCTCACTCTATCAATGAGTGATGGGTGCCAGCTTCTCTTCCGGAAAATGTTGAAGTTAACATTGTTACAAAGGCGTAAGTCAGTCATTTATGGCAACATTAATGTATACATATACAGTTTAGGAATATATATTATATTTAATTTATAAATATATATATAATATATATATAGAAAATTAATACATTTACGACACCAGATAGATACAAATACGCTGGAAATACTTGGCTACAGTGTTGCCATTTCGAGCTGTGTGTACATTGCTTACTATCCTCAGTCTGTCATCGAGTGCGCAGTTGAGCACACAGATGTGCTCTCTTGGTTCAATGAAGCTGTAAGGAAACTTGCCTGCGCAGATAGACTACATCATGATACAGGAAGACAACACCGCCGCCACACAGGTGAGGGATGCCCTATCTTCATTGCTTATTCAGGGTATACCATCTCTGACTGCTGACGCATTCCCTGTGCTCAGCATATAATCAGCTGAAAAAAGACTCCGTTTTATTTGGTATGCTCATAAACTTAAACTCTTTAAAACATTGTAAATATTTAATTTTGCTATTTCCATCCCCCCGCCGGCACTCGGTTGGTAATCTTGGGCATGGTATTTTATCAAATCACCTCAATCTGGCAGTATGGGCTCGAGTCACTTCTGGGGTGTGAGTTTTCAGTTGCATATAGTCCTGGAGACCGTTCAGGCTTGTTCGCATTTGTGTTCCTCACGTGTGCCCCAAGGAATGAGGTGATTTGATAAAACACCATGCCCAAGATTATCAACCGAGTGCCGGCGGGGGGATGGAAATAGCTTCGGCTACCATCCTCTTTTGTCCGGTCGTGTTGGTCGAGTGGTTAAGGGATCCTGTACATCAGATGCATTGCTTCTGGCAGTATGGGTTCGAGTCTCTTCTGGGGTGTGAGTTTTTAGTTGTATATATATATATATATATATATATATATATATATATATATATATATATATATATATATATATATATATATATATATATATATATATATATATATATATTTTTTTTTTTTTTTTAATAATTTATAGGGTACCACTTCTGGTGCCAATGTGGGGACCCATAGCCTCGGAGAAGAAAATAAAAAGTATTCAGAGGAGACCTTGTGGTCTCTCACTGAACACTAATATTATCTTCTCCTACCACCCCCATTCTTTTGTATGTACACATATATATTTGCTTTATTTGAACCTTGTTACAAAAAAGGCGTTACATATAGGTTACACAGATGGTTATCATAGGTTGTCGAGTTCCTCCAGCTCCTCAGATGGCGGGCAGGAACCCTGGATGCAGTGCGCATTTCCCCTCTGTATCGCCACGCTGAGGCGCTGGAAAAGAAAGCTGGCAGCTCTAGGGTCCCTTGTTGTTTCAATGAGCCTAGAACCCAGTTCCTTCAAAAAACTGGTAGCACTTTTACCCCAGGCGCCGAGTGTCTCAGAAGCAATGGGGACAAAATTGTAGTGGTGATCCAGTTCTCTATACTTAGGGATTTGGCTGCTTCCCTGTGGGTGGCAGCGCCACCTGGTTGTGCAACACTGAGGTTAATGTAGGTGTTAGCCAGGGTTGATACGCACGTGTAGTCCCAATTAAATATATATATATATATATATATATATATATATATATATATATATATATATATATATATATATATATATATATATATATATATATATATATATATATATATATATATATATATATATATATATATATATATATATATATAAATAACAAGTATAGGAACCCATAGCCTCGGAGAAGAAAATAAAGAGTATTCTGAGAAGACTTTGTGGATCCTCACTGAGCACTTTGATATTTTCTTCTCCTACCATCATTCTTTTTGTATATGTATGTATATATCTCACTTTATTTGATTTAAAGTTGCATTACACAAAAAAGGGTTACAACATTGGTTACATGCAAGATACAAGACTACTTGTCACAGGTTATAGAGTTCCTCTAGCTCCTCAGATGGCGGACAGTAACCATGGATGCGGTGAGCATTTCCTCTCTGGATCGCCACACTAAGGCGATGAAAGAGGAAACTGGCGGCTCTAGGGTTCTCTAGGTGTTTCAGTTAGCTTAGAACCCAGTTCCTTAAAAACTAGCAGCACTTTTACACTAGGCACCAAGTGTCTCTGATCGAGGCATTCGGGGACAAAATTGTAGTGGTGATCAAGATCACCACTACAGAGACTTTACGCAACTTGGCTGCTTCCCGGTGATTGGCAGCATCGCCTGCCTGTGCAGCACAGACGTCAACATAGGTATTGGCCAAAGTTGAAACGCAAGTGTAGTCCCACCCCAATTTCCTAACATTCTTCCAGGGGGCAAGTGATTCCGTCTGGGCGACCGACAGGCTCATCAGAGTTATGGGGCATTGGGTAACGGGGTTCTCGCTCTGCTGGGCAACCGGCTGTTGTAAGGCAACTCTTAATAATGTCATTAACCTCACTGTATCTTGCATGCCATCCTCCTCCACGATCTGTCTGACCTCCTCCACGGGTGCCTGACAGCTGGGTGGAAAGCGCTTCGTATTCGTAGTCCTGAGGTTCCTGGTTCGATCCCCGGTGGAGGCGGAGACAAATGGGCAAAATATTTCTTTTACCCTGATTCCCTTGTTGCTTAGCAGTAAATAGGTACCTGGGAGTTAGACAGCTGATACGGGCTGCTTCCTGGGGGTGTGTAACAAAAAGGAGGCCTGCTCGAGTACCGGGCTGCGGGGACGCTATGCCTCGAAATCATCTCAAGATAACCTCAACATAACCTGTCCTTTGGCAGAGAAGGCCATGCCGTCTGTACCTGTCGGTTACTGCCTTGCCGCAAATACACCTGTATTCGGTGTGGATTGGGGCAGAGAGGCGGGAACCTTGCTGAAATATATTTTAGGAAAAAATATTTTTGGAAAAAACTGAAAACATATATCAGGAAGAGAAGGGAACTATTAGGGGAAAGCGCCAAGCTATTACGACTACATAGCACAGGGAAGAAGTCAGGATAAGGATTTGGGATGGGATGGGGTGAAAAGGAATGGTGCCCAGCCATATATATCAGGAGCAAACTTACATTAGGAAAAAATTATTTTAGAAAAATAACATATTTTAGGAAAAAATATACTTTAGGAACAATTTTTTGGGAAAAATTACTTTAGGAAAATGATTATTTTAGAGAAAAATTTAGTTTAGAAAAACATTTATATATTTCTTTATTTTACTAAAAATTTATTATAGGAAAAAATATTTAAAGAAAAAAATCTATTTAAGAAAAAACTATTTTAAGCAAAATTCCATCCCAACCTACGTTCTCAGGCGCTGGTGTCCGCGGTCAAGAATGGGGACAAAGACGGAGTAAAGACAGCCATCCACTCCGGAGGGGACATCCACACCATCCTTCCCAGTGACGATCCGGATGCCCCCGGAGCCCCCCTCTTGACTCTCGCAGTCTATCTGGGACGTGCTGAGGTGGTGCCCGTTCTCCTCAGCGCTGGTCACCACGTTGAAAGCAGGGGATCCCACCCTTACACGCCTCTCCACGTAGCGGTGCACTGCGGCCATCTCCAGATCGTCAACACTCTCATCGACGCCCACGCTGATGTTAACGCCAAAGACAACCATGGTGAGTATCTCATACAGACCAGCAAGGAGAGTATCCCATACTGACCGGCATGGTATCTTATATAGACCAAGGGGGACCATGAAAAAGGGTAAAAGTACTGCGTCTGGTGAAGATGGAGTCACCTACGACATACTCAATGCACTCTGTGAAGTATCTGGGGTTCCACTACTCCAACCGTTTAATAAATTATTCCTAAGTGGAAAGTTGCCCCCACAATGGAAACATGCACTAATCGTTCGCATACTGAAGTTTAATGACCCGGACAATTATAGACTTATCAGTTTCATGTCATGCACATGCAAGATGCTTGAAAGGATCATCCTAAACCCACTGTTGCACAAAACAGGCAGACTAGAGAAAGGGGTCAATGGATTTGTTAAAGGACGGAGCACGACAAATTGTATAGTTAATTACTTGTCTAATGACACAACTAAGTACTCTGTATTTGTTGATATCAAAGGAGCCTTCGACAAAGCGCAGCGGATGGCGATCATGGACGAGCTTGCATGCATGGGTGTTAAGGGGAGACTCATGAAATGGATTGAAGATTACCTCACAGGGAGGAAAGCCAAGGTTTGCTTCAAAAGAGCAGTCTCGAGAACAATGAATCTGAAACTCGGAACCCCCCAAGGAGGGGTCTTGAGCCCCCACACTATTCAATGAACACCATTGCAAATACTGATTTTCCGGAAAGGACGTAACAAGTGGGGTATGCAGATGATGTCAGAATACAAGCTCCCCCCCTTGGAAAAATTAAATAGTCCATTGAACACCTTGGAAGGAAATGTATTGAGCTCGGTTTCACTCTCCACAAAATAGACAAAAGCACACTCTCATCACAAGAGGGAAGAAAATGAAGCACTACAAATTAATGGTGTAACACTAGAATGGGTTGACCACTATCGGTAACCTTGGCGTCACTGTCGGCTCTAACAAGAGGAAGAAAGAGGAGCTCAACCAACTCATAAGAACATGCAAAAGTCGACTAATGGCACTGAATGATATGACCTGGAATGGACATGGAGCCTCTTTTGCCGTGCTTAAAATGGTGTACACAGCTTATGTGCGCTCCGTCATAGACTATGCCGCACCAGTTTTATGCACCTACGCCCAAAACGATATGAAAAAGCTCGAAAGCATACAGAATGAAGCCATGACATTCATTCTTGGAGTTCCAAGAACTGCCAAAACGTCTAATCTACGAGAGGAGTTGGCCCTCCCCAGTGTTAAAAGCAGAATTAAGGAACTGAATGCTAAGCTTGCAATTAAGATAACCAGAAATCCCCATTACAATTATATTGCCAAGAAAAAATCGAGTCTGTGTTATTTATAGGAGGAAACAGGCATCACAGATCAGTCTGCTACCTCGAAGAATTTCACCTGCTCGAGCAAGCCCATGAGCTCATGCCTGTTGAGAGGTTACCTCCCTGGGAGGATGACTCATGTAGGATTGTCATCAATGAGATGACAACGAAAAAGTCCATAATACTACAAGAAATGAGGCACAAGTATCTCGAAGAAATTTATAAAGAAGCCGGAGATGAACTAGATCAAATCTACACTAATGGGTCATCTAATGCTGTCAATGGCAGGACTGGTGCAGCATACACTTAATTAGAAATAATGGCTTTCAACGCAGAAATGAAGAAAAAGCACGTATTGAGAACTATGCCTCTTCAATGCAAGCAGAGCTAACTGCTATTAAGGAACGAAACGAAATTCCTTGAACGAAACGCTAATAGCAACGCATCCTTCGAATTGACAGTACGGTTTAATACTAAGTATAATAAGTACATTTCCTTACTGTCATACATAGTACATAATTGCACTTATGGGGTTATTACAATTACCTCCTCATTTAATCTCTTAATTTTCTGTTAAAACACTCAAAATTTTAGGGTGAAGTTTCCAAGTTAAGTTTATTATATACAAGTTTTAAATATCAGAAATTTCTTTTTCAGTTTTATTTAACAATAGAGATTTTATACAAAATTTGAAAATATCTTGAGTTACTTTACAATTTATGGGTATATTTTAGTTTTGTTTTATTCCTTTTATAAAACTGTAATATTAATTTAGCTATAGGTTTAGTAATAATTGTAATTATGAAGCAATAAAGTGCTTATCTTCAAACACTAAGCCGGTTAGGTTAGGTTATGGTTTTCTATTTAGTTTTTCCGATAAATTCAAATATTCACAATATATTTGATGGTACGGTTTAATACTAAGTGAAAATAAGTGCAATTTCTGACTGCTATGAATAGTACATATTTGCACTTACTTGTGCTCTTACATTTATCTCCCCATTTTTGGAGGACGGGCTGCTAATACACACTACAAATGCAGCGCTATAAAGCCTAAGTAAAAATTAGGCAGAAAACCTTGCAATAGCCGCTGAAATTAAGAGAGCTGTAAGGGTACTAACCAACCAGGGAAGAGTCGTCAAGTTTTTTTGGATCCCCTCCCATGATGGAATCTGTGGAAATGAACTAGCAGATGTGCTGGCTGCTGAAGGCACTGAAGGTGACCATATTGAATACTTCAAACCCAAGACTCTTCTACAAATTAGTGGTATTGTCAGGCAATTTAACCGTGACAAGGTAACTGAGGAAAAGAGGATGGAAGCACAAACCAGTGAATCCGTACGATGGTACAACATGGTTGCAGCTGGCAATCCCAATTATTATAGACGAAGAGGAGGTGACCGCGAGAGAGAATAAGTAATAGCGAGAATCCGTCTTGGATACAAATATCCATGGAGATTCAGAATGGAAACAACAGTTGAGCAGCAGAGTTGCAGAATCTGTGATGAAAGTGACGGACACCGCCTTGACCACTATTTACGTGAATGTGAACTCCTGAGAGACATTAGAAATATGTGTAGAATAATAACCCCACATTGTTTGAGTTAGGAAAACACTATTTGTCAAATATTGTTACTGTTCTTAAAAGATTTCCCCATTTTGCACCAGCAAGATAACGTAAGATTTTAAGGGTTGACAAATGTTAATCTTCTTGTTTGGACATGGAATGCCAGGAGGAGGAGGAGCTGTTCACTTGAGACAGTTAAGCAAGTCCCTCAGCAACGCACGTGCGTTGCTGAGCCACAGCCACCTATCCTGTCCCCCAGTCCTCCCGACCATTTCCCCCTCACCCGTCTCCTCGGCCTCCCAACCATTCCCACTTCACCATCCCCCCGTCCTTCCCCACCATTACCCCCTCCCTTGTCCCCTCGTCCTCCGCACAATTTTTCACTTCCATCCCCACCATTCCCCACTCCCTCATCCGATACCTTCCCAAATGGTCTGATGTTCCCATCAGAAAATTGGAAACATCAAGTGATCTGATTTTCCCATCACTCCATTATAAGAAAAACTGTTAAAAATGAAATGAAAATATGAAAAAATATAAAAATAAATTATAATCACGGTCTGGTAAACAACGCAGCTCAATTCCAACACAATTCACTCAAAATAATTAAATCAAAATGAAAATAAATCAAAATCTATGAAAATTCAATTTATCAATGCAATCAGAATCATTGAAACGGAATTGTAACATATGCAGTATAAAACGTGTGTTGCTCTTACATGCAACAGATGGCGCTGTTTTTCAAGAAAAGCATATAAGTATTACCTGTCACAGGTATGGCATCTATACTTATGCTTACAAAATGAACGGTATGGCAAACAACACAGCTCAATTCCAACACAATGTCACACAAAATAATTCACAAAAAGTAAAATAAATCGAAATCTATGAAAATAAAATTTATCAACGCAATCGGAAATATTGAAATGGAATTCGTGACATATTTAGTATAGCGTGCATATTGCCATTATGTACAACAGATGGCGCTGTTTTCAAAAACGCATGTTTTTACCTGTCACAGGGGTGGCATCTACATAGTAGGTATATAAAAAGATGCGCCTATTCGAATGCAACGTTTTATCAAAATTTCAAATCAACTGGTGAAGAACTTTTGGAGATTACAGCGTATGTTGCTCTTACGTCCAACATATGGCACTGTTTTAAAAAAAAGCATGTTTTTTTCCTGTCACAGGTGAGGCATGTATATAGTAGATATATAAAACGACGCGCCTATTCGAATGCAACGTTGTGTCAAAATTTCAAAGCAATCGGTAAAGAGGTTTCGAAGATTTCCCTCACATGAAAAACACAGTTTTTCGGAAAAAGTATGTTTTTTTGCCGTCACAGACGTGACATCTATATAATATGTATATAAAAACCTGCTCGGATGCGAATGGAACGTTGTGAGAAAATTTCAAAGCAATCGGTGAAGAACTTTCGGAGATTAGCGATTTTGAACAATCGAACATTTCCATTTTTATGTACATAGATTTCAGGGATTTATATATATATATATATATATATATATATATATATATATATATATATATATATATATATATATATATATATATATATATATATATATATATATATATATATATATATATATATATATATATATATATATATATATATATATATATATATATATATATATATATATATATATATATATATATATATATATATATATATATATATATATATATATATATATATAACTCACTCCCCAGAAGTGACTCGAACCCATACTCCCAGGAGCAACGCAACTGGTATCTACAGGACGCCTTAATCCGCTTGACCAAAGAATGAGGTGATTTGATAAAATGCTATGCCCAAGATTACCATCCGAGTGCCGGCGGGGAAGGGCTTCAAATAGCTTCGGCTATCACTTCCTTATGTCCGGTCGTGATGGTCAAGCGGATTAAGGCACCCTGTAGATACCAGTTGCGTTGCTCCTGGGAGTATGGGTTCGAGTCACTTCTGGGGTGTGAGTTTTCAGTTGCATATAGTCCTGGGGACCATTCAGGCTTGTTTGCATATATATATATATATATATATATATATATATATATATATATATATATATATATATATATATATATATATATTCAACCTAGAAGGGGTACCACCTCTGGTGCAAGTGTTGGGACCCATAGCCTCGGAGAAAAAATAAAGAGTACTCAGAGAAGACCTTGTGGATCCTCACAGAACACTTTGATATTTTCTTCTCCTACCACCCCTATTCTTTTGGGATGTGTTTATATTTATCTAACTTTATTTGAAAATGTCATTACACAAAAAAGTTACAATATTGATTACTTGCAGGGTACAAGGCTGCTTGTCACAAGTTGAACAGCTCCTCCAGCTCCTCAGATGGCGGGCAGGAACCATGGATGCAGTGAGCATTTCCTCTCTGGATTGCCACACTAAGGCGCTGAAAAAGAAAACTGGCAGCTCTAGGGTCTCTAGTTGTTTCGATTAGCTTAGACCCCAACTCCTTCAAAAAGCTAGCAGCACTTTTATCCCAGGCACCAAGTGTCTCTGAGGCAATGGGGGACAAAATTGTAGTGGTGCTCAAGGTCTCTGTACTTACGTGACTTGGCCGCTTCCCGGTGATTGGCAGCTCCTCCTGCTTGTGTAGCACTGAAGTCAACATAGGTATTGGCTAAAGTTGAAACGCTAGTGTAGTCCCACACCAACTGTTTACTATTCTTCCAGGGGTTCACCGTGATTCCGTCTGGGCGACCGACAAGCTCATCAGAGTTGCGGGACATTAGGTAATGGGGCTCTCTCTCTGCTGGACAACCGGCTGTGGTAAGGCTTCTCTTAATAATGTCATTGACCTCGCCGTGTCTTGCATGCCATCCTCCTGTCCTTTGGCAGAGAAGGCCATGCCGTCCGTATCTGTCGGCCTCTGCCTCGCCGCAAATACACCTGTATTCCGTGTGGATTGGGGCAGCGAGGCGGAGAGCCATGGCAATTCGGAGGGCCTGCGGTGTGAGATGGGTGCCGGTTGCTGACATTGAGGTTGCTAATAGGAAATCACCTGCATGGGGAGCTGCTATATATATATATATATATATATATATATATATATATATATATATATATATATATATATATATATATATATATATATATATATATATATATATATATATATATATGTGTGTGTGTGTGTATATCACGAAAATAAACACGTGATTAAGAATGTGACAATGTTAGACCACGGAGGAAAAATGAAACAGGAAATTTCCTTAAGTAATTTCGTATATTAAGATGTATTAGCCTTCTGAAGATGTATTTAATATACGAAAGTACTTAAGGAAATTTCCTGTTTCATTTTTCCTCCGTGGTCTGACATTGTCATATATATATATATATATAAATCCCTGCCTAATATCACACACTACGCCATTAATCAGTAATCCCACATACCGATATAAACACAGCAATAGAAAAATCATGCAGCAATTACACACCCAGGGTGACATTACTGCTCACTCCTTACCTCTGCCGGATACTGGCTTCTCCTGAAATGAGATACATGGATATGGCACATAGCATGGTATATATTGAACCATACAGAGTAAAACCACAATGGAAATATCTCCACTGAACGGTATAATTAACCGAACCAGTTAACACACAATTTGTACTACATATACATCTGATTGTGTTCCCTGGTGAATTCATACACACGTTAACGACTTGACTGACAGCAATGTCCTCCAATTACTGTGGTCGTTCTCAACAGGTGCATCTCCCTGCAGCCTTGCTTCCTCACCTAAATAGGTGCTATGGACAACTGCAGCTGGAACCTGACTTTCACGTCAGTCTAGAGACATCTACATCAAATATATATATAGAGTACTCACGTTAGGACCGGTCTCCTCAATTACACATCCACTCATTCCCTACTGAAGCTTAAGTAGACTGAAGACATGAAGATCACCCACGTGGTCATGGCGACCACGCGTGTGTGACCCGGTGAAACACGGGATGCAGGATAGGTGAACACGGGCGCCACGTACACAGGGTAGGCGGCGAAGCGAGTTGGTGGAGTGCGTGTGCACTCCACCAACAGAGTGGTGGAGTGCGCATTTTTTGTGGGTTCAATATATACCATGCTATGTGCCATATCCATGTATCTCAGAGTGCGTGTGCACTAGCGCAGGCTAAAAAGCTAGCTGGTAAATCCTCCCTCTGATAATATCTTCCAAGTATCACTTGTTAATACTAGCTAAGCGTTTACTCTTAATACTTATCACATCTACACTTCAGATGTGACCTCGCTGCACCTGGCTGCGAGGCGTGCACGTACGTCCTGTGCGAGAGCTTTGATCAACGCAGGAGCCGACTTGGACGCCCAAGACCGCACTCTGCGCACCCCTCTACATGTCTCTGTCTTGAGTTATTCTACTGATAACACCGAGGTTATGAAACTGTTATTGGACGCAGGCTGCAACTCCCGAGCACTCAATAGCAGTGGCTTCACGGCAATGCATATGGCGGCCATGTCCGGAAATGAAAAAGCTGTTCAGGAACTGTGCATGGCCGGTTTGAACCCGGAGGAAAGGGACGAGTTTGGCCTGTCGCCAGAGGACATAGCCGAGGCCTGGGGCAAGCACAACACAGCTTGGCTCCTGCGCAAGATGCCCCAACGCACGAAGAGGACTTCTCCCAAACCTATACTACAAATGTTGGTAAGTTATACCGTAGATTGATGACGTGATCCTTCTTTCATCTGTGCATACCTCTTTTCCCACATTATACACAGACGGCTTGCATTTTGGATCCATTAAATGCAAGATATATAATAAAATAAATTTCAGTGTCACTGTTACAAAATTAATATTTTTTTTTAATAATTAATCCATACAGATGGCAATGGTGTTCAAACAATTGATTGATCGGTACAGCGACGGCCTCGTTTAATGCAGGTCGGAGTTCAATCCCCGACCGTCCAAGTGGTTGGTCACCATTCCTTCAGCCCTTCCTCGAATCCCAACTCCTTGTCCTTATGTGCTATATACTCATACTGGTTTACCGCTGTCGCCTCCTATCTTGTGGGTAATTCTACCCATTATATCAACATTATTATCTAAGAAATGTATTATTTCTATATCATATCAAAATCAGAATCACTTCAGATTCATTAAATCCTACATCTGGATCCTACATGACAATGCCACTATGATCACGTACACCATAGGGCCCATGGTGCCTACGTGACTTTGTGCAGGATTTCTCAAGGATCTAGAAGCTTCGAGAAGAATATCTTAATTAAAAAACTATTGGAACAATCAATCGATTTCCGGTGAGGAGTAAGTCAAATCCTTAATAAGAATCAATAGTACTTTCAAGTACTACAAATAAACTTTAAATCCTATATCTAATTATATTATAATCACATCTTATCTCAATCATGTCTAGACAGTAAAAATAATCAATATATATTCATTGAAGGCTACCTCATTCGTGGAGTGAACTCGGACTTCAAGCACCCACGACTGGAGCGCCCAAAGGCAGAAAGCATTTTGTTTACAAACACTGAACACTTGTGATGGTGCCTTGCGAACATTTTCAGTAAAGGACACCATACTAACTTATCATTATCACCAGTTATTACTCTCTAGAACAGGGGGAGTACCTGGACTATATCTAAAAGGAAAAATTCCTAGTACTTAATATAAAAAAGGGTGTAGAGTGGAGAACACCAAGTGACGCTGCCTCCACAATCAACTTTATCTAATCCTACTGAATGACATAATCAACTAGCAAAGTTACCAGAATATTAAACAGCAAAGCTGTGATATAAAATAAAGTGCCTGAACTCTACACGAGAGTTATCCAGTCTGGCAACCTGTCAGATGGCAAGGGCACTCAGGTTGAATATATTGAGTGTTATTGTAGTATGTTGATTGGGCAATTTCATGCTTTTGTAACCTTAATCTATCCAATAAATCTGTTTGTCGTTACAGTGAGGGGACAACGCCCCATATTTCAGTAAGATTTTAATAATCTTTCAGCCACTGAATCTTTTCAATTTATCTGGACACTCATTAATTATTTAACCCTCAGTCATTGAAAGTCAAGCTCGACTGAAACTCTACATATTAATTGAATATATCTGAATATATAATAGATAATATTCATTAAGTTAACAATTGTTTTCTTAGTTATCTTTAATTTATCATATAAATTTATCATATTGAATATAATCCTTTGAACCAAGATGGTTACATCATTACACTTAGACCATATAAGGTCCTTTAATTGTATATTTACATATATCATACCTCTATAATACAAATTGTTGTGTTTATTAGTATGTGAATATTGGCTTTTGTAGTTATGGTGCTAGGCTGGATTGTGTACATATGGTTGTACACATATGAATGTGTAATTAAAGAACCATGAATGTGGTCCATGTACTGGTAACTAAGTACAAAAATTATATTCAGTATGATAAACTTATATGATAAATTAAAGATTACTAAGTAAGCAATTGTTAATTTATGTATATTATGAATTATATATAAAGATATATTCAATTTATATGAAGAGTTTCAGTTGAGCTTGATTTTCAATGACTGAAGTTGAGTACCTCATGAGTGTCAAGATACAATGACTGAGGTTGTGTATCTCATGCGTGTCAAAATAAATTGAAAAGCTTCAGTTGCTGAAAAATTAATAAAAACTTACTAAAATATGGAGTATTGCCCCGCCCTGTAACAACAAACAGATTTATTGGATATATCAAGGTTATACAAGCATGTAATTGACCAATCAACATACCACAATAACTCAATATACATATGTCTGAGTGCCGGGTGCCGTCTAACAAGTTGCCAAACTGGATCTTGGTAGAGCTTAGAGCTGTGACACTATATATTATGTCACAGCTTTGCTGTTTAAAATTCTGATAACGTTGCTAATTGATTATGTCCTTAATTGAGTTTGCAGTAGGATAAGATGAAGTTGAAGGTGGAGGTGGAGGCGCCGTCACTTGGTGTGCTCCACTCTACACTCGTATTTAGATAAAGTACTAGGAATTTTTCCTTATAGATATATAGTTCAGGAACGCCCACATTTCTAGAGAGTAATCACTGGTGATAAAGATAATTTAGTAAATGTCCTATTCCGAAAAATGTTCGCAAGGTACCGTCACACGTGTTCACTCTGTTTGTAAACAACGCTTTCTCCCCTCGAGTGGTGGTGGGCGCTTCTCTCCCAGCCATCGTCCCCACATGCTCCCTGAGCGAGGTAGCCTTCAATGAATATTGATTGATTATTCTTACTGTCTAGACATATGATTGAGATAAGATGTGATTATAATATAATTAGACATAGGATTTCAAGATTATAAGTAGTACTTGCTTGTACTATTGATTCTTATTAAGGATTTGATTTAATCCTTACCAGAAATCGATTGATGTTGCAGTAGTTTCTAATTAAGATATTCTTCTCGAAGCTTCAAGATCCTTGAGAAATCATATACAAAGTCACGTAGGCACCTAGGGCACTATGGTGAATGTGATCATAGGTGGCATTGTCATGTAGGATATAATGATTCTGTAGTGATTCTGATATGATTTTGATATAATTTAGATATGATATAGAAATAAAATATTTCTTAGATAATAAAATAGGTACAGTGGGTAAATTTCCCACAGTTCAACTCTAATATCAATCACAACAATTTTCCCACATACCTGCTGCTTAAAGATAGCATCAATAATGAATGTTTAAAATTTGCCTCTAAATCGAAGGGTCTTCACATATACGAGAAATGAAACCAATTTGTACTTCCAGAAGAGAAGTTGGGATGATTACGAGGCTGAAGGTGTGAAGACTTTGAGTTGGGTACACGAGAAAAACTTCGTATTAATTCAAGAAAATGTCCCAGAAAACCGTGATGGACATTATCAGGACAGTGAGGGTCTGACAGCTCTCCACTGGGCAGCCAAATTGGGCCATAAGATTGTGGTACATACCCTAATCGACAGGTGTGCTTCCTTGCCCAGTGTGGTGACCTATGATGGGCAGACTCCAGCTGACCTGGCACGGATGGCATCCCACGAGGACCTGTCAAGCACCATCATAGAGGCTACTCACCCTCAGGTTTGTAATGTTTGCCCTTTATATTTAACTGTTGACCATCCCCCTTTACTGTCATACTTTATTGAAATGGGGATAAAATGTTATGCCAAGGCTGATTGTTTATTTGCCTGACTGCATGCTGTTTTGAGGCCTGATTGTTCAGACCTTGCTACAAATAGCAGTAACATCAGTTCACAATGAGGACGATCATAGTCCATCCCAGGATTAAAGTATCATGAATAAATCTTAAGGCTTTACAAGGGGTTCGAACCCGCTCCTCAGAAGTCCTTAGGCACACGCCTGGGCAATGATGACACGGGGTGATTCATTACATTTTTGTTGTTTCATTGAGTATTGAAGGGGTGGGGGGGGGTCGATGGGGAACATTACTACCAACATAGTGAAATTATGTTAATGTAATTTCATTATTAAATCATATAACGTTGTATTTTGGTGTTCATATTCCTCAATATCATATATCATCTATTATGACGGTCTTCATTTTTTCATGGATTTTCCTGCACTGGCCCCAAGCCTCTGGCTGGCCCATTTAGTGTTACTTGTTTCTAGATGTTGTTTTAGGCGGCTGGTGAGTATTGATGTCTCGTAAAAAAATTTATGACTCACATAAATCACGTGTCTGAGGTATAACAGGTAAACACTGGCGCCTGTGTGTGCGTGCTTGTGGCTAATATACGAGATCTTCCAGGCAGGCGTATCCCCTCCAGCACTCTACATGGAACTTCTAATGCTGATTAGTGCTGGTGACAGCGTGATGGAAGCTTCTCGGCTGCTGCGCTCAGGAGCGCCCCTCGAGCCCGTGGGGGACTTCTACACCAGCGCCCTCGTCCTCGCCGTCACCTGTAACAGGCCGAGGATCCTGAGTCTTCTGGTGGCAGCTGGAGCACCACTCACCACTTGTTCGGAGGGCCTCTCTCTCCTCCAGCTGGCCTGGCGTTCACATGACGTTACCATCCGGCTTCGCGTTCTTGTCACCAGGGTAAGTTGAAGGAGTTACTTAAACCAAATTGGTACTCACCTAGTTGTACTCAACTAGTGGTGCTTGCGGGGGTTGAGCTCTGACTCTTTGGGCCCGCCTCTCAGCTGTCAATCAATCAACTGATTCTCCCCTCCCCACCACACACACACACGCAAGTACACATAGTAGGCCTTGCATAGTAGGCCTTGCATAGTAGGCTGAGAAGTGCGTTCTGGCTACTAGGTACGATATATATATATATATATATATATATATATATATATATATATATATATATATATATATATATATATATATATATATATATATATATATATATATATATATATATATATATATATATATATATATATATATATATATATATATATATATATATATATATATATATATATATATATATATATATATATATATGTCGTACCTAGTAGCCAGAATGCACTTCTCAGCCTACTACGCAAGGCCCGATTTGCCTAATAAGCCAAGTTTTCCTGAATTAATATATTTTCTCTAATTTTTTTCTTATGAAATGATAAAGCTACCCATTTCATTATGTATGAGGTCAGTGTTTTTTTATTGGAGTTAAAATTAACGTAGATATATAACCGAACCTAACCAACCCTACCTAACCTAACCTAACCTATCTTTATAGCTCAGGTTAGGTTAGGTAGCCAAAAAAGTTAGGTTAGGTTAGGTTAGGTAGGTTAGGTAGTCGAAAAACAATTAATTCATGAAAACTTTGCTTATTAGGCAAATCGGGCCTTGCATAGTAGGCTGAGAAGTGCGTTCTGGCTACTAGGTACGACATATATATATATATAAATATATATATTATTAAATATGACCGAAAAAGTAAGATTAATAATTCTAACACGAATTTTCTCAATCTTTCGTACATTTCTTTTCACTGTTGGAGGTAATTCAAAAATCAATTCTCCAAAATTCATTTTTATTTCTAGTCTGACGCAACACTTGAGCGCGTTTCGTAATATATGTGTACAGGAAAGACTGCTACCAATATATATATATATATATATATATATATATATATATATATATATATATATATATATATATATATATATATATATATATATATATATATATATATATATACATAATGTAATCTCCAAAAGTTCTTCACCAATTGCTTTGAAATTTTGACACAATGTTCCATTCGAATGCATGCATGTTTTTATATACCTACTACATAGATGCCACACCTGTGAGAGGTAAAAACGTGTTTTTTGAGAAGCAGCTCCATCTGTTGCACGTAATAGCAACACACACACTCACTATACTAAATATGTTAAGATTCCATTTCAACGTTTTCCGATTGCATTGATAAATAGAATTTTCATAAATTATGATTTATTTTCAATTTGATTTAATTTTTTGTGTGACATTGCGTTGGAACTGAGCTGTGTTGTTTACCATACCGTTCATTTCAAAATTATAAGTATAGATGCCACCTGTGACAGGTGAAAACATTTTTTTTTTTTAAGAAACAACGCCATCTGTTGCACGTAAGAGCAACTCACGCTATCCTAAATATGTTACAATTTCATTTCAATGTTTCCGATTGCAATGACAAATTTAATTTTCATATATATCGATTTATTTTAATTTTGATTTAATTATTTTGTGTGACATTGCGTTGGAATTGAGCTGTGTTATTTACCGTAACATTCATTTCGTGAGTTTAGTTTTTTGTTTATTTTTTAACTGTTTTATTTTGTTTTTAACTGTTTTTATTTCATTTTTAACTGTTTTTATTTCGTTTTTAACTGTTTTTATTTCGTTTTTAACTGTTTTTCTTATATATCAGTGATGGGAACATCAGGTCATTTGATGTTCCCAATTCTCTGATGGGAACATCAGATCATTTGGGAATGCATCTTACGAGGGAGTGGAGAATGGTGGGGAGGACGAGCGGATGGGAGGGGGGGGGATGGTGGGGAGAACGACGAGACAGGGGAGAGGTAATTGTGGGGAGGACTAGGGGACGGGGAGGGGGAATGGTAGGGAGGACGACGGGATGGGGGGAGTGGGAGATTGTGGGATGCGAACAAGCCTGAACGGTCTCCAGGCATATACACCACTGAAAACTCACAAAAACAAAGAATGAGGTGATTTGATAAAATACCATGCCCAAGATTACCAACCGAGTGCCGGCTGGGGGATGGAAATAGCCTTGGCTACCATCCTCTTTTCTCCGGTCATGTTGGTCGAGTGGTTAAGGGATCCTGTACATCAGATGCATTGCTTCTGGCAGTATGGGTTCGAGTCACTTCTGGGGTGTGAGTTTTCATTGGCATATATGCTTGGAGACCGTTCAGGCTTGTTCACATTTGTGTTCCTCACGTGTGCCCCAAAGAATGAGGTGATTTGATAAAATACCATACCCAAGATTACCACCCGAGTGCCGGCGGGGGGATGGAAATAGCCTCGGCTACCATCCTCTTTTGTCCGGTCGTGTTGGTCGAGTGGTAACATCACATCACTCTAACAAGAGAAATGTTGAACAAGAATACCTGCATAATAGACAAAACCCAAGATGCAAAAAGATTACAAATTCTTGAGGCAATTCACATAAGAATAGAACGACCTACCATGAACACCCAAATCACGGAACTATTTACTCTACCCACCATGAGAGTAAGGACAAGACCAGAACATAACGATGCCAACACAGAAGACAATGTCCAACATAACAGGCCAATTACACTGGATTAATCTTTGTGTTTAGATAGGAGCTGCCTCGTATGGGCCAATAAGCCTTCTGCAGTTACCTCTATGTTTCACCTCACATTTATCCCTTATGTATCCCCCCCCCCCCATGTTTTCACCTTTATTGTATTATCACCTGACCCAGTGCGGGTATAAAATCAACCAGCATTGTAAGATCTGTTCACTTGAGAATGAACCATGGAGGTTCGAAACGTTGTGCTAATTGTATAAATAAGTGTAATACACTCTATAGTAAATCACTTCTTTTCTTCACCTTAAAAGTACGAAAATGAGTTTTAGAGAACTCCTATTTCAACTATGCCCTGATGCTAAGAAAATAGTTAGAGGGATAGAAGCCCTAAACCAGAAAATAATAAATACAAATATGAGGTCATATTCAATGAAACATATATATATATATATATATATATATATATATATATATATATATATATATATATATATATATATATATATATATATATATATATATATATATATATGTATGTGTGTGTGTGTGTGTGTGTGTGTATTCACACATTGAGAACTGAAATATTAAAATGGCAACATTTTCTGAATGCACTACAAGCCGAGAAGCGTTGTGTGAGGCCCAAGACTCCTCTTGGGGAGGGTACTGACCACCACGTGACGAGTCTTTGATACAAGACCCCTTGGTAGACCAGCTGACCCCAGACCAATTCAAAACTGTTCTAAAAGTTTTTCATAAATACATCACGTTATTGTAGATATATAGTGAATTTATTTTTCATATTTTGTACAGAACTTCCTACACACACTCCAGATAGAAAGACGTCGCCTTAAGCCACAAGACTCTGCTCTTAGAGAGGGTATTGACCACCTCGTGACGAGTCTTAGAGGCGAGACCCCTTGGCAGACCAGCTGGCCTCTTCAGGCAGACACTGACCTCACCTCACTCATGGTCTCGGCTGCCACTAATAACTGCCCTCTGACAGCATCCTTCCTGAGGCAGGCGGGAGCCAAGTCCTTCCTGCAGGACCAGTCCGGCATCACTCCTCTGCACGCGGCGCTGGACGCCCACCACTGGGACCTCGCCAGGTTGATGGTCAAGCACATAGGAGCCTGTCTCTACATCCCCGACTCCTTAGGCAGGCTTCCCTTGGACATGCTGCCCGCACACCACAGAACACAGGTGGAGGAGGTGAGGCCTTTACTCTTTTGCTTCCTAAAGTTTAACGTTGAGTGGTATAAGTTATACATATTTCTATTTAGCCATTGTCTGACGAAGATACATAATTTGAAAATAATATTTCATAACTTACATATTTTGAAAATAATTTCAGAGCATTTATCAGCAAGAGAGACAACAATTAGAAGATTTGATAGAGAAGGTCAAGGATAAGGAAGAGAAAGACCAGCTTCACGAGGTTCTTGACCAGTATGACTCTTTGTTTGCAAGTTACCGAACGAATTCTCCATTGAATAAGAATCGCCTTCCTTCCGAAGCTTCAGCACGAGAACGCGCCGTCAACTCGTACGGTCTTCTGGTATCTTGCCGGCGAGGGCTTCTGCAGCTGGTATATCTTCTTGTCACCATAAGTGGCCTTGACGTAGATACAGTGGTCGACGATACCCATGACTCTACTGCTCTCCACCAAGCTGCCGCCCATGGCAACTCAGGGTGCTTGATTCTGCTCCTAAGTCTTGGAGCATCTGCTCTGAAGGCAGACCGATACGGACATACGCCATCCCACTTTGCTGCCATGTTTGGTCATGGCACAACTTATCAGCAGCTAAAGGTGTTCCTGGAGGACCATCAGCCTGTCAGTGCGGCGGGAACAACCCCAGCTGGTGTTAACTCTAACTTTACAGGCTACTTGCACCGCTACATGAAGACTGAAGTCAAGCCCGAAGGCGTTCTGGTTTTCAAAAACCCATCTGAAGGAATCAAGGAGCTCCTAAAACTTGTTAATATTAGAGACATGGCAAGTCAATTAAGTAATATCTGTGTTGACTTCACTAAAGGTGAAGCTAAGGAGGTCAGGGAGGTCGTGACCCGAGAGGTCCAGCTTATAATGAACAAAGTGAGTGCTGCTGACAGTCTATACGAGGGGAAGCTAACCACTGTAGGAAGTACATCAGACGGCACACGCCTCTATGCACCAGATGAGTTCGACTTAAGCGTTGTGTTGTCAAACGTTCCTGGAATTAAAGTGGAAATAATTGAGTTGGACCCTCAACAAGCCGCTCATAATGGACACAGATTGAGAGTTCGTGTCAAGACAGACCATCCAAGTCTTCAAGGGAAGACTTTGATAAATAACTTCTATGAGTTAGTAAGAAAGTGTTTGAAGATTCACACTATCGAGAGCAGTCAGTTGAGCCTTGTGCCTCCAGGGGTGACCAGAACTCAGGTAGGTGTGGCACTGACACTTGCCTGGCAGGGCAAAGAGTATCCTCTTTTGCTGATTGGCATAGACTTGGTTCCTGTAGTGGCTATCCCCTGGCCAGCAGAGGTAAGCAGACCCCCACTGACTCCTGCTAACATCAGTCAAGTGTATCTGTGTAACACAGCCGACGGGGAGTGGCGTTGTAGCTTTGCTGGAGCCGAGGCAAAAGTCCTGAGCCAACTGGACTCCCAGGAGCGCCGGGTCTATGTGGCCTGCAAGACTCTTCTCTCTCACCTGAAGGCTGAGCCCTGGATGCCTCGAGAAGTAAAGGCAAACTATACTTGGTGGGATTCACGCAAGTGGAAAATCATGATCCCAGCAGGATTTGCTGTGAAGAACAGCTTCCTAAATCAGCTGCAACGCAAACGCAAGGAGAAGAGAGACTGGCGAGACGAGGACCTCTTAGACGTGATCATCACCATCTTGAGAGACATGTGTCAAGACTTCTGTGACCCAACAACTGCCGTGGAGTCCTTGGTACCAACCAAAGTTTACGCTTATTTTGGTGGAGAGTTTGAGAAGCCCAAGACGGGGGATGGTGCTCCTGAGATTATTAAAATCCTCAGAGAGATTCAACAGCAAGATACTAGTCCTAAATCATGGTTACCAAATTTATACTGCAGTATACTGTAATTCACTCTAAATACTCTAAATACTCTACTGTAAATAAATTAGTTTTCTGCAGTTATTTTGACATGTAAAAAATCTGTGAATTTTAAATGTAATTTTAAATCGCAATTGGATCCTGTAAATTATGTCTTTCATAGTAATATTTTTTATTTAGATTTAAGAAACTTTTATTTGATCCAATGTGATATATAGAAATATACTTGAGCTTTCTCTGAGAATTAGATTCTAGGATCATTCTCTCCATCAGAGACAAAAGATGCTGCCAGTTTCCTTTTTCAGCACCTCAGTGTGGCGGTCCAGAGCGGAAACGACTGTTGTGTCCTCGGGTCCAGTCTGGAAGTTGAGGAGCTCCGAGAGATCTATACCCTCTAACCTCTCAGTGTATTCATCAATGTGTAACTTGTAACAATTAAAATATCAAATAAAGCAAAATAAAATGTGGGCCCCGTGGTGTCCCTACGGAAGAACGTTGTCTCTTCAGGAGGCAGACAGCTTGGGGTCTCGAAAGGGACCCGGATCATCGTTCTACGTCTTCAGTCTCCTGTTCCGTCGACTGTCACATTGATGGATTACATCAGGCATACCTTTCATGCTGGGCAACCCCGGACATGTTTCCAGTGTGGCCTAAAGGGACACAAGGCGGTGGACGGCAATGGTCCTGTCCCTTGTCGCCCTGTCGCCTTGTGATGGTGTGGTAGGGGAGGTTTCACTGCCGTCTGCTACCCCTGTGTTGTTGCAGAGTTCCTTGGCCTGCGTGAACAAGGTTGCAGTTGGTAGTGTCGGTGTAGGAGTGGTGGTGTGTGCCGACCCCGCAACTAGTTTCCTCGCCTCCCCTGGCTCTGACTATCCTGTCTCCAGTTTCGGTGCCACCTGTGGGTTGTAGTATTGTAGCCCCCTCAGTCTTCGAAGCTGCTGTGCTTCGGGATCGAGTTTTGCGCGTGGTGTGGTGCAGCCAGCCAGAGGCTCTGCTCGGGCACCTCCTGCCGTTGGCGAAACTTCTGATGATCAACGGCCTGTGTCTAAACGTTCTCTGAAGGTTTAGAGTGTGTCGCCCCATCGTGAGTAGGCTGACGTGCGTAATTCTGAGGACTCTTGGGGCTTTTCCTCTGTGCGGTGTGGTATTGGTATGTAGGGGCTGGTGTGGTGCCAGCGTGTGGCGGGAACCCTGGCGTGGACCCTGACGTGAACCCTGGCATGGACCCTGTTGTGGAGGTGGGGGCCGGTGCGGGGACTGTGGTTCCTGATTCGGCTGCCTTGCCCGCATACGGTTGTTTCGGTTCCCCGTTTGAGGTGGTCCCCTCTGCCGAGGATGTTGGTAGGCCTCGTGAGTTGGTAATGGTCCTGAAAAAGGATGCTCACCAGATAGATTCCTTGCCCCCTCCTCCTGTTCCATCGGTGGTGGAGTTATCGCCTCTCCAGCCATCGTCTTCAGTGTCCACTGCTCTGGTGCGGTCGTCTCCGGCCGAATCGCCGCATGACGTGGTAGTTCCAGAGTTTATAGGGCGCCCGCGTTGGCCTGTGGACGTCCGCCATACCATGAGGAGTGGCTGATTTGGAATGAATACATTCGTCAGTATCTAGGGTGTGAGTTTCTGGAGAAATATGGTTTGCATTATTGACATTGTTGCTGTTACTCCCGGTCCCTGTGGGTTCCTGTGTTGTGTTCTTGTGCATGAACGTGTAGTTGTGGTGTTTGTGGTTGCGTCTGCATGTGTGTGGTTGGGCTTCTTTTGTTCCCGGTTCCTGTGTGTTCCGATGTTTGTGCTTAGAAGTATGGGTGTGTGGTTGTGGTTTCTGTTTTCCGGTTCCTGCACATTCTGGTGTTTTGTTCCAGTGTGTGTCCGTGTGTGGTTTTGGGGATTTTTGTTTTGTTCCACATTTCATGCTTTTTCTTCTTTTATTATTGTAGTTACTTTTATGAATAAGGTTATATAGTTCCGGGTTCCTGAGTGTTCCGGTCCTGTATTTATGTGTGCGTTGGTTTTTTGTAACTTCTATGTGGCCCCTCTGACTTGTTTTGTCTCATGTTTCCATATTTATTGCCATGTTTCCTTGTATCATAGGTAATGTTTCTGTATATACTTTATGTGTTTCCTGTTTTGTGCACTGTTTCATGTTGTGTGCTTACTTAATATCTCTCTTACTGCTCTTGAGTTTGCATTTCTTGTGGGAAATTTTACCCACTATATCAAAATCATATCAAAATCATATCATAATCACTTCAGATTCATCAAATCCTACATCTGGATCCTACATGACAATGCCACTTTGATCACGTATGCCATAGGGCCCATGGTGCCTACGTGGCTTTGTGCATGATTTCTCACGGATCTAGAATCTTCGAGAAGAATATTTTAATTAAAAAACTATTGGAACAATCAATTGATTTCCGGTGAGGATTAAATCAAATCCTTAATAAGAATTAATAGTACTGTCCGGTACTACCTATAATCTATAAGTCTTATATCTATTTATATTATAATCACATCTTATCTCAATCATATGTCTAGACAGTAAAAATAATCAATAAATATTCGATGAAGGCTACCTCACTCAGGGAGCATGGGGGACGATGGCTGGGAGAGAAGCGCCCACCACCACCCGAGGCCAGAAAGCGTATGTTTACAAACAGAGTGAACACGTGACGGTGCCTTGCAAACATTTTCAGTAAAGAACACCATACTAACTTATTATCACTAGTGATTACTCTTTAGAACTGGGGGAGTACTTGAACTATATCTATAGGGAAGATTCCTAGTACTTGTATCTAAATAAGGGGTGAAGAGTGGTTCGAAGGGACGCCGCCTCCATCACATCTAATCTCATCCTACTGCAATGCAACTCAAGACATAATCAACGAGAAAAGCTAACAGAATATTAAACAGTAAAGCTGTGTCAAAAAAATATAGTGCCTAAGCTCTACAAGAGGTTATCGGTCTGGCGACTTGTCAGACAGGCATCGGCATTCAGACTGGATAAACTTAAGTATATTGAGTGTTATTGTAATGTTGATTGGCCAATTGCATGCTTGTGTAACCTTGATATATCCAATAAGTCTATCGTTTCTGGGTGGGGTGACGCCCCATGTTTAAGTAAGTTTTTAATAAAACTAGTTTAGTTTTAATAGTTTTTAAGTAGTTAATAGTACTTAGACCACATTTAAGGTCATTTTATTGCATATTCATATATATCATACTTCTACAACATAAATTGTATTTATAGTATAAGAAAATAGGCTGTTGTACTTATGGTGCTAGGCTGGACTGTGTTCATGTTTAGATCCCTAATTTAAACAGAACCAGTGTTCAGTTATAGAACTGAGTTTATTTAATCTTATCCTTGTATTAACAATACAGGCTGATGTGTTGAATTATCTGCAGGTGGATTGTAGATCTTCAATCAACTTCTTCAGTAATCCTTAGGGACCCCCCACCTACCCCTTACAGCCCACAGTCTGTCATTAGGACAAGAGGAGCTAGGCTGTATGACCCTAGCTAGGGACTTTAGATGTATTAATTTTGCATACAGTAATTTTAAATTTAGTACAGTACAAACCCAAAGTAGTTCTTTTATATCAATTGTGAAAATTTTCTCATATTTTTATTTATGTACGATGTTCGGTTCCATTTTAGGATTTTTGTAGCCCGGGTATGGGTTTTTGTTTTTGTTCCTTTGTAATGCTCTCTTATTGTAATTTATTGTATTTATTTTTTTAAATAAAAAATGTATATAATCTGCTGATATATGATATACGTGTATATTGTTTATATTGTTAGTGGATATAGAGTGCATGTGTCTATTGTTTAAATTCTTAGTCGATATAGGATACACGTGTCTATTGTTTATATGTTGATATGGGATTCACGTGTCTTGTTTATGTTGTTGATACAGGATACATTTGTCTATTGTTTATATTGTTATATTACTGCTAGGTAACAGGGGCATTCAGGGTGAAAGAAACTTTGCCCATTTGTTTCTGCCTCGTGCGGGAATCGAACCCGCGCCACAAAATTACAAGTCCTGCGCGCTATCCACCAGGCTACGAGGCCCCGTAGTGTGTGTGTGTGTGTGTGTGTGTGTACTCACCTAGTTGTACTCACCTAGTTGTGTTTGCGGGGGTTGAGCTCTGGCTCTTTGGTCCCGCCTCTCAACCGTCAATCAACAGATGTACAGATTCCTGAGCCTATTGGGCTCTATCATATCTACACTTGAAACTGTGTATGGAGTCAGCCTCCACCACATCACTTCCTAATGCATTCCATTTGTCAACCACTCTGACACTAAAAAAGTTCTTTCTAATATCTCTGTGGCTCATTTGGGCACTCAGTTTCCACCTGTGTCCCCTTGTGTTAAATAGCCTGTCTTTATCTATCCCTATCAATTCCCTTCAGAATCTTGAATGTGGTGATCATGTCGCCCCTAACTCTTCTGTCTTCTAGCGAAGTGAGGTTTAATTCCCGTAGTCTCTCCTCGTAGCTCATACCTCTCAGCTCAGGTACTACTCTGGTGGCAAACCTTTGAACCTTTTCCAGTTTAGTCTTATCCTTGACTAGATATGGACTCCATGCTGGGGCTGCATACTCCAGGTGTGTGTGTGTGTGTGTGTTTGTGTGTGAAAAAAAATAGTTAGTAGTTAGTAACAGTTGACTGACTGACAGTTGAGAAGCGGGCCGAAAGAACAGAGCTCAACCCTCGCAAGCACAACTAGGTGAATACAACTAGGTGAATACTCACACAACCTTTACTTATTTTATATTCCATCTTTCTTTTTCAATCATGTACATTTATCATCTAATCATATGAGTGAATGAAGCACCTTCACAGTTGATCTGCAATATTACAACATACGTAAGATGTGTTGATGTGTTGGAACTGTTTAAAGTATGGCTAAAATCGTATGGAAGTGACTGACTTGGTAAAAGTTTAACTTAATAAAGGTGGGACGTGGAAATTTAAATTACTGTATATTAGAGATGTTGTTTGTTGTTGAAGAATCGCTACTTGGAACATATTAGTTCCAAGCAGCACGGGCTATGGTGAGCCCGTGTATATTGGAGAGTAAACAGAAACCGGAAGATTAAATTCACTTAGTTGGAAGTTAAAGTTGAAAGATACAGTAGGATTAGAAAGACAGAAGATGCACACATTGGAGTGGGGTAGATGCAATCTCTTTTTGATGGGAAGAATGATATGAAACAGTACATGTGATGGTGTGTTGAACTGTATAACGTTAGCTTTAATCGATTTGCCCTCCTTGCCACAAAAATAGCTACAAGGGCTATTTTTTCAACTTTCACTGAAAATAAAGACATAACAGAGAACTATATCTTATCAGTGAGGACATATTGAACAAAGTTAATTGTAAGGGAGGAAAGATACATCTTGAGAATTGAATCGAAACTATGCACTGTTAGATAAGTATGCGTTGCGAATGCCCCATATGTGGTGATAGGTAAGTACTGATAGGTGAGTACTCTCACTCATCCACACACTCATCCTTCTGCTCACCCACATTCTGGTCATCCAGTCGTGCGCAAGCATCCTTACCAGGCAGCCACACGTTCTCACCCGCTCATTAATCTGACCAGCCTCTCCAGAGGTCTTGACACACTCCCCCCTAAACATGGAGAAAAATTTTAATTAGCGCAAACTTTAGAGTAAACACAAACACGAAACTTAAATAGATATGTTGGAAGACCAAGATCTATTGAATTAGTAATATTCATAAGATATAAGATACACTAGGAGAAGGGCAAGACGAATCAACTTTAGATGTAAGAGAGCTTTTATGGTCTCTATGTTATGTAATAGAACAACTATATGGATGTCGTACTGCTTAAAGTTGACTTAAATAGTTTAATACGTCAGAGAGCTTAAGATCATAAAAGGAAAAAATAATGATAGCGGGGAAGAGTAGTTTACTTTACTGAGACCGATTTATATTGCTCTACCATTACATAGTGCATGGGAAGTGAAGACTAGTATAGATCTGAGATCTATAGCTAATCAGGCACGTTATGCGGAATGAAGGATCTTGAGAAATATGTTTGGAAAGCATGGATAAGTAAGTACACATAGATGAATGACACACAGCTTACTCACTAACTATTCTCTCACTGGGAAAAAGAAATTTGTTTGTAGTTAGTAACAGTTGAGAAGCAGGCCGAAAGAGCAGAGCTCAACCCCCGCAAGCACAACTAGGTGAATACACACACTGAGTACCCAAATGAGCCACAGGGACGTCAGAAAGATCATTTTCAGTGTTAGAGTAGTTAACAGGTGGAATTCATTAAGCATTGACGTGGTGGAGGCTGACTCCATACACAGTTTCATATGTAGATATGATAGAGCACAGTAGGCTAAGGAATCTGCACACCAGTTGATTGACGGGACCAAAGGACCAGAGTTCTACCCCTGCAAGCACAACTAGGTGAGTACACTCAATACCAGTAGATTGACAGTTGAGAGGCGGGACCGAAGAACCGAAGCTCAACCCCTGCAAGCACAACTAGGTGAGCACATCTGAAGTAACAATGTGACTTCCCAGAGTACTGTTTATTTCTAAATAAAATAAATTAAAATTCGTATTATTGTAATTTCGACGTAACATGAGCCTCACTCCACCAATGAGATGGGTGCCGGCTTCTTTTCGGGAAAATGTTGAGGTTAACATTGTTACAAAGGCATAAATCAGTCACTTATGGCAACATTAATGTATACGCATATAGTTTAGGAATATATATCATATAATTAAAAATATATATAGAAAATAAATACATTTACGACGCCTAACAGATACGAATATGCAGGAAATGCTTGACTACAGTGTTGCCATATCGAGCAGTGGTGGCCACTAGTGTACGTTGCTTACGGTCACTCAGTTTGTCATCAAGTGCGCAGTTGAGCACACAGATGTGCTCTCTTGGTTCGCTGAAGCTGTAAGGAAACTGTTGCCTGCGCAGATAGACTACATTATTATGATACAAGAAGACAACACCGCCGCCACACAGGTGCGGGATGCCTTATTTTCATTGCATATTCAGGGTATACCATCTTTGACCGTTGACGCATTCCCTGTGCTCAGCATATAATCAGCTGAAAAAAGACTCCCTTTTATGCGCATAAACTTAAGCACTAACTCTTTAAAACATTGTTAATGTTTAAATTTGCTAATATGTATGTATGTATGTATGTATGTATGTATGTATGTATATATATATATATATATATATATATATATATATATATATATATATATATATATATATATATATATATATATATATATATATATATATATATCAGGAGCAATCTTATGTTAGGAAAAATTATTTCAGAAATAATATTTTTTGCAAAAAAATTACTTTAAGAAAAAAGAATTATTTTAGGGAAAATTTAGTTTAGAAAACATTTATGTTTTTGTTATTATTTTACTAAAAATGTACAATAGAAAAAAAATATTTAAAGAAAATATCTATTTAAGAAAAAGATATATATTTTCAGCAAAATTCCATCCCCAATCTACGTTCTCAGGCACTGGTGTCCGCGGTCAGGAATGGGGACAAAGATGGAGTAGAGACCGCCATCCACTCCGGAGGGGATATCCACACCTCCGTTCCCAGGGACGATCCGGATGTCCCCGGGGGCTCCCTGTTGACTCTCGCTGCCTGTCGGGGTTGTGCTGGCGTGGTGCCCGTTCTCCTCAGCGCTGGTCACCACGTGGACAGCAAGGGAGCCTTCCCTTACACGCCGCTCCAGGTAGCAGTGCATTGCGGCCATCAGCAGATCGTCACCACTCTCATCGACGCCCACGCTGATGTCAACACCAAAGACCAGCATGGTGAGTATCTCATATAGACCAACCAGCATGGTGTGTATCCCACATGTCAAAAGGTCACCCAAATTCAGGAACTTTCCCGCCACCAACACCATATTCAAGCCATTACAGCACTGGCTGGACTAAACAGGTGTATAGCAGCATAAATTCAACCCTAGGCCTATAAACACGACTCGCAGTCGAAAATCCTGGGTTCGATCCCCTGGATGTGACAAATGCCCGGTCACGTTTCCTCTCATCCTTGTTAGCGTAACAGTTGAATTGGTTTCCTGGGAGTGAGAGAGCTGTTGTGGTTTGCATTCTGCGGCAGGTCAGTTGTTGACCTTGGGGAGATCTCAGTAGGCCTAAGTACTAGCTTCCTGACCCGACAACGGAAATTATTATTAATAATATTATAACTATTATGATCAGTGATAGGCCGTTGGTAGTCATTTTTCTTGTATAATGAATGTTCTTTGTCTTATTTAAACGATCAGTTATAAATGCAAAATAATTATTGAATAAAACAGTACTCAAAATATATGCACATATCGGCTCCAAGACTTCATTCACATATGGTGATACCTCTGGTCCGGTGAGTCCATTCAGGTCGTGGCTTCTTCCTGGGTCGAAGTACTTGATTGGCTACAGGCTGAGTCGTTCTCTCACTCTCGATATCATATTCCAGCTTTTTCTTTTCATGTCCCAGATAGTCTGTCCTCACCTCCCAGCTCTTAGTCTGTCCTCATATCCCACCTCTTAGTCTGTCCTCATATTCCTCATCTTTGTCCTCGTATCCCTTCCAAGTATCACTTGTTCATACTAGCTAAGCGTTTACTCTTAATACTTATCACATCTACACTTTAGGGGTGACCTCGCTGCACCTGGCTGCGAGGCGTGCACGTACGTCCTGTGCGAGAGCTTTGATCAACGCAGGAGCCGACTTTGACGCTCAGGATAGCGCTCTGCGCACCCCTCTACATGTCTCTGTCTTGAGTTATTCTAATGATAACACCGAGGTTATGAAACTGCTATTGGACGCAGGCTGCAACTCCCGAGCACTTAATAACACAGCTTTCACGGCAATGCACGTGGCGGCCTTGTCCGGAAATGAAAAAGCTGTTCAGGAACTGTGCATGGCCGGTTTGAACCCGGAGGAAAAGGACAAGTTCGGACTGCTGCCGGAGGACATAGCCGAGGCCTGGGGGAAGCACAACACAGCTTGGCTCCTGCGCAAGATGCCCCAACGCACGAAGAGGACTTCTCCCAAACCTATACTACAAATGTTGGTAAGTTATACCGTAGATTGATGACGAGATCCTTCTTTCATCTGTGCATACCTCTTTTCCCACATTATACACAGACGGCTTGCATTTTGGATCCATTAAATGCAAGATATATAATAAGATAAATTTCAGTGTCACTGTTACAAAATTAATATTTTTTTAATAATTAATCCATAGAGATGGCAAAGGTGTTCAAACAATTGATTAGTCGGTACAGCGTCGGCCTCATTTAATGCAGGTCGGAGTTCAATCCCCGACGGTCCAAGTGGTTGGTCACCATTCCTTCAGCCTTTACTCGAATCCCAGTTTTTTGTCCTTATGTGCTATATACTCATACTGGTTTACCGCTGTCGCCTCCTATCATGTGTGCAATTCTACCCCATTATATCAACATTATTATCTAAGAAATGTATTATTTCTATATCATATCAAAATCATATCAGAATCACTTCAGATTCATTAAATCCTACATGATAATGCCACAATGATCACGTACACCATAGGGCCCATGGTGCCTACGTGACTGTGCAGGATTTCTCAAGGATCTAGAAGCATCAAGAAAAATATCGTAATAAAAAACTAATGGAACAATCAATCGATTTCCGGTGAGGATTAAGTTAAATCCTTAATAAGAATCAATAGTACTATCAAGTACTACAAATAATCTTTAAATTCTATATCAAATTATATTATAATCACATCTTATCTCAATCATATGTCTAGATAGTAAATAATAATCAATAAATATTCATTGAAGGCTACCTCATTCGCGGAGTGAACTCGGACTTCAAGCACCCACGACCGGAGCGCCCAAAGGCAGAAAGCATTTTGTTTACAAACAATGAACACTTGTGATGGTGCCTTGCGAACATTTTCAGTATAGGACACCATACTAACATATCATTATCACCCGTTATTACTCTCTAGAACTGGGGGAGTACCTGGACTATATCTAAAAGGAAAAAATCCTAGTACTTTATCTGAATAGGAGTGTAGAGTGGAGCACACCAAGTAATGCCTCCTCCACAATCAACTTTATCTAATCCTACTGAAGGACATAATCAACTAGCAAAGTTACCAGAATATTAAACAGTAAAGCTGTGATGTAAAATAAAGTTCCTGAACTCTACAAGAGAGTTATCCAGTCTGGCAACCTGTCAGATGGCAAGGGCATTCAGGTTAAGTATATTGAGTGTTATTGTAGTATGTTGATTGGCCAACTGCATGCTTGTGTAACCTTAATCTATCCAATAAATCTGTTTGTCGTTACAGTGAGGGGACAACGCCCCATATTTCAGTAAGATTGTATTAATCTTTCAGCCACTGAATCTTTTCAATTTATCTGGACACTCATTAATTATTTAACCTCAGTCAATGAAAGTCAAGCTCGACTGAAACTCTTCATATTATTTGAATATATCTGTATATATAATAGATAATATACATTAAGCTAACAATTGTTTTCTTAGTTATCTTTAATTTATCATATAAATTTATCATATTGAATATATTCCTTTGAACCAAGATGGTTACATCATTACACTTAGACCATATTAAGGATTAAGGTACTTTAATTGTATATTTACATATATCATACCTCTATAATACAAATTGTTGTGTTTATTAGTATGTGAATATTGGCTATTGTAGTTATGGTGCTAGGCTGAACTGTGTACATGTTTAGATCCTTGATTAAACAGAACCAGAGTTCAGTTATAGAATTGAGTTTATTTAATCTTATCCTTGTATTAACAATGCAAGCTGAGGGGTTGAATTGTCTGTAGATGTATTGTAGATCTTCAATCAACTTCTCCATTCACCCTTAGGGACCCCCACCTGCACCTTACAGCCCACAGTCTGTCATTAGGACACGAGGAGCTAGGCTTTACAACCCCCCTTTTGGAACTCCCCCAGTTCTAGAGAGTAATCACTGGTGATAAAGATATTTGAGTAAGGTGTCATATTCCGAAAAATGTTTGCAAGGCACCGTCACACGTGTTCACTGTTTGTAAACAACATTTTCTCCCGTCGGGTGGTGGTGGGCGCTTCTCTCCCAGATATCGTCCCCCATGCTTCCTGAGCGAGAGAGCCTTCAATTAATATTGATTGATAATTTTACGTTCTAGACATATGATTGAGATAAGATGTGATTATAATATAATTAGATATAGGATTTAATGATTATAAGTAGTACTTGCTAGTACTATTGATTCTTATTAAGGATTTGATTTAATCCTTACCAGAAATGTTGCAGTAGTTTCTAATTAAGATATTCTTCTCGAAGCTTCTAGATCCTTGAGAAATCATATACAAAGTCACGTAGGCACCTAGGGCACTATGGTGAATGTGATCATAGGTGGCATTGTCATGTAGGATATGATGATTCTGTAGTGAATTCTGATATGATTTTGATATAATTTAGATATGACATAGAAATAAAATATTTCTTAGATAATATAATAGATATAGTGGGTAAATTTTCCTCAGTTCTCCTCTAATATCAATCACAACAATTTTCCCACATACCTGCTGCTTAAAGATAGCATCAATAATGAATGTTTAAAAATTGCCTCTAAATCAAAGGATCTTCACATATACGAGAAATGAAATCAATTTGTATTTCCAGAAGAGAAGTTGGGATGAATACGAGGCTGAAGGTGTGAAGACGTTGAGTTGGGTACACGAGGAAAACTTCGTATTAATTAAAGAAAATGTCCCCGAAAACCGTGATGGACATTATCAGGACAGTGAGGGTTTGACAGCTCTCCACTGGGCAGCCAAATTGGGCCATAAGGTTGTCGTACGTACCCTGATCGACAGGTGTGCGTCCTTGCCCAGTGTGGTGACCTATGATGGGCAGACTCCAGCTGACCTGGCACGGATGGCATCCCACGAGGACCTGGCAAGCACCATCATAGAGGCTACGCACCCTCAGGTTTGTAATGTTTGCCCTTTATATTTAACTGTTGACCTTCCCCCTTTACTGTCATACTTTATTGAAGTGGGGATAAAATGTTATGCCAAGGCTGATTGTTTTTTTGCCTGACTGCATGCTGTTTTGAGGCCTGATTGTTCAGACCTTGCTACAAATAGCAGTAACATCAGTTCACAATGAGGACGATCATAGTCCATCCCAGGATTAAAGTATCATGAATAAATCTTAAGGCTTTACAAGGGGTTCGAACCCGCTCCTCGGAAGTCCTTAGGCACATGCCTGGGCCATGATGACACGGGGTGATTCAGTACATTTTTGTTGTTTCATTGAGTATTGAAGGGGTGGGGGGGTCGATGGGGAACATTACTACCAACATAGTGAAATTATGTTAATGTAATTTAATTATTAAATCATATAACGTATTTTGGTGTTACTTGTTTCACGATGTTGTTTTAGGCGGCTGGTGAGTATTGATGTCTCGTAAAAAAATGTATGACTCACATGGTGGCTTTAAGAAGATAATGTAAATCACGTGTCTGAAGTATAACAGGTAAACACTGGCGCCTGAGTGTGTGTGCTTGCGGCTGATATACGAGATCTTCCAGGCAGGCGTGTCCGCTCCAGCGCTCTACAAGGAACTTTTGATGGTGATCAGCGCTGGTGACGACGTGGCGGAAGCCTCTCGGCTGCTGCGCTCAGGAGCGCCCCTCGAGCCCGTGGGGGACTTCTACACTAGCGCCCTCGTCCTCGCCGTCACCTGCAACAGGCCGAGGATCCTGAGTCTTCTGGTGGCAGCTGGAGCACCACTCACCACCTGCTCGGAGGGCCTCTCTCTCCTCCAGCTGGCCTGGCGTTCACATGACGTTACCATCCGGCTTCGTGTTCTTGTCACCAGGGTAAGTTGAAGGAGTTACGTAAACCAAATTGGTACTCACCTAGTTGTACTCAAATAGTGGTGCTTGCGTGGGTTGAGCTCTGACTCCTTGGGGCCGCCTCTCAACTGTCAATCAATCAACTGATCCCCCCCCTCACACACGCACACATGGATGTATATATATCTATATATATATATATGACAATGTCAGACCACGGAGGAAAAATGAAACAGGAATTTCCTTAAGTACTTTCGTATATTAATACATCTTCAGAAGGAGCGATTTTACAGATCGAGTGATGGGTATAAATAGGCAGGAGAGAGTGGTGAAGTGAGGTGAGGTACAATACGTGGACAACGCAGACGGCCCATTGGCCCATCAGATGCAGCCAATTGGCCCATCTGATGTAGCCCAATGGCCCATCTGATACAGCAAACATACACAGGCACAATACATAGATAATTATAACATAAAGTGGTAAATATATACAATGAATTAGTGAGACAAATGTTTTCCAATGATCCTACTTAAATCGTCCTTTAACTGGTCTATTAAAAATGGATCTAAGTTATATAGACCACTGCTAATATTCAAATTACTTTCTTTTGTGATCTGTATCAAAGCAGATTCAATTATGTTTCTGTTATAGGTGCTTTTACAATTTGTTATTGAAGAAGCACTCTCCCAATCAATTTAGTGAGCATTTTCTGACAAATGAACAAACAAAGCATTAGACAATTGGCCATGTCTTACAGAGTATTTATGTTGCGATATTCTACATTTTAAATCTTTAGATGTTTGCCCAACATAGAACTTATTACATTCCTTACAAGGTATTTTATAAATGACACAATTATCACTACGAGGGCTGTTCCTAACTAATAGCTTACCAACAGTGTTTTCGTAGCTAAACATTACATCTATATTAAAAAGTTTCAAGGCCTTGACAATATACTCAAACCCCGAGAAATATGGTAAACATAACACATTCTTTGGGCGAATCCTTTCACTGCATACATTATTATAATATGTACGACGTGCTTTGTTACGGCAAACTTCCAAAAAATTCAGTGGGTAACAAAGCTTAAGACCAATCGAATCAATATTCTTAAACTCTTCGTCTAAGAATTCTGGACTCACAACTCGAAGAGCTCTTAGATACATTGAAGAAAAAATTGACTTTTTCACATTGTATCTATGCCCTGAAAAATAATGAACATGGGATAAATTATCCTATGTTAAATTATTATAATTTATCCTATGTTCATTATTTTTCAGGGCATAGATACAATGTGAAAAAGTCAATTTTTTCTTCAATGTATCTAAGAGCTCTTCGAGTTGTGAGTCCAGAATTCTTAGACGAAGAGTTTAAGAATATTGATTCGATTGGTCTTAAGCTTTGTTACCCACTGAATTTTTTGGAAGTTTGCCGTAACAAAGCACATCGTACATATTATAATAATGTATGCAGTGAAAGGATTCGCCCAAAGAATGTGTTATGTTTACCATATTTCTCGGGGTTTGAGAATATTGTCAAGGCCTTGAAACTTTTTAATATATCATTATCTGCTCTTGGGGAGGGTACTGACCACCTCGTGACGAGTGTTAGGGACAAGACTTCTTGGCAGACCAGCTGACCCCAGACCAATTCAAAACTGTTCTAAATGTTTTACATAAATACATCACGTTATTGTAGATATATAGTGAATTTATTTGTCATATTTTGTACAGAACTTCCTACACACACTCCAGATAGAAAGACGTCGCCTTAAGCCACAAGACTCTGCTCTTAGAGAGGGTATTGACCACCTCGTGACGAGTCTTAGAGGCGAGACCCCTTGGCAGACCAGCTTGCCTCTTCTGGCAGACACTGACCTCACCTCACTCATGGTCTCAGCTACCACTAACAACTGCCCTCTGACAGCATCCTTCCTGAGGCAGGCGGGAGCCAAGTCCTTCCTGCAGGACCAGTCCGGCATCACTCCTCTGCACGCGGCGCTGGACGCCCACCACTGGGACCTCGCCAGGTTGATGGTCAAGCATATAGGAGCCTGTCTCTACATCCCCGACTCCTTAGGCAGGCTTCCCTTGGACATGCTGCCCGCACACCACAGAACACAGGTGGAGGAGGTGAGGCCTTTACTCTTTTGCTTCCTAAAATTTAACGTTGAGTGGTATAAATTATACATATTTCTATTTAGCCATTTCCTGACGAAGATACATAATTTGAAAAAATATTTCATAACTTACATATTTTGAAAATAATTTCAGAGCATTTATCAGCAAGAGAGACAACAATTAGAAGATTTGATAGAGAAGGTCAAGGATAAGGAAGAGAAAGACCAGCTTCACGAGGTTCTTGACCAGTATGACTCTTTGTTTGCAAGTTACCGAACGAATTCTCCATTGAATAAGACTCGCCTTCCTTCCGAAGCTTCAGCACGAGAACGCGCCGTCAACTCATACGGTCTTCTGGTATCTTGCCGGCGAGGGCTTCTGCAGTTGGTATATCTTCTTGTCACCGTAGGAGGCCTTGACGTAGATACAGTGGTCGACGATACCCATGACTCTACTGCTCTCCACCAAGCTGCCGCCCATGGCAACTCAGGGTGCTTGGTTCTGCTCCTAAGTCTTGGAGCATCTGCTCTGAAGGCAGACCGATACGGACATACGCCATCCCACTTTGCTGCCATGTTTGGTCATGGCACAACTTATCAGCAGGTAAAGGTGTTCCTGGAGGACCAGCAGCCTGTCAGTGCGGCGGGAACAACCCCAGCTGGCGTTAACTCTAACTTTACAGGCTACTTGCACCGCTACATGAAGACTGAAGTCAAGCCCGAAGGCGTTCTGGTTTTCAAAAACCCCTCTGAAGGAATCAAGGAGCTCCTAAAACTTGTTAATATTAGAGACATGGCAAGTCAATTAAGTAATATCTGTGTTGACTTCAGTAAAGGTGAAGCTAAGGAGGTCAAGGAGGTCGTGACCCGAGAGGTCCAGCTTATAATGAACAAAGTGAGTGCTGCTGACAGTCTATACGAGGGGAAGCTAATCACTGTAGGAAGTACATCAGACGGCACACGCCTCTATGCACCAGATAACTTCGACTTAAGCGTTGTGTTGTCAAACGTTCCTGGAATTAAAGTGGAAATAGTTGAATTGGACCCTCAACAAGCTGCTCTGAATGGACACAGATTGAGAGTTTGTGTCAAGACAGACCATCCAAGTCTTCAAGGGAAAACTTTGATAAATAACTTCTATGAGTTAGTAAGGAAGTGTTTGGAGATTCACACTATCGAGAGAAGTCAGTTGAGCCTTGTGCCGCCAGGAGTGACCAGAACTCAGGTAGGTGTGGCACTGACACTTGCCTGGCAGGGCAAAGAGTATCCTCTTTTGCTGATTGGCATAGACTTAGTTCCTGTACTGGCTATCCCCTGGCCAGCAGAGGTAAGCAGACCCCCACTGACTCCTGCTAACATCAGTCAAGTGTATCTGTGTAACACAGCCGACGGGGAGTGGCGTTGTAGCTTTGCTGGAGCCGAGTCACAAGTCCTGAGCCAACTGGACTCCCAGGAGCGCCGCATCTATGTGGCCTTCAAGGCTCTTCTCTCTCACCTGAAGGCTGAGTCCTGGATGCCTCGAGAAGTAAAGGCAAACTACACTTGGTGGGATTCACGCAAGTGGAAAATCATGATCCCAGCAGGATTTGCTGTGAAAAACAGCTTCCTAAATCAGCTGCAACGCAAACGCGAGGAGAAGAGAGAGTGGCGAGACGAGGACCTCTTAGACGTGATCATCACCATCTTGAGAGACATGTGTCAAGACTTCTATGACCCAACAACCAACAAAGAATCTTTAGTACCATCCAAAGTTTTCGCTTATTTTGGTGGAGAGTTTGAGAAGCCCAAGACAGGAGATGGTGCTCCTGAGATTATTAAGGTCATCAGAGAACTAGGGTCAACATCATAAAGACTTGGACAAAATTACATTTTTTGAAGATTCTTTCTTGGGAAAGAAAGCTAAAAATCTGGAGCCTTTGGATGTTTCCCGATAGTGTGCAATACTCTTTATTTTATTTAGTTTAAGAACAGCTCTTTTTGCTGTGCTAAAACCAGTTTTGAAATTAATACTCATAATCCTGTATGTTATGGTATCCTCTCGCCTTAACTTTACCACACTTTTTAACTTCATATAAAGTTATGTTGTAATCATCAGCTTGACCTATTTCATTATAGGCACTTTCAATGTTGGTGTTACGATTTATAAGTTCTCGCAAGAGGATGATTTATATATTCAATGTTATAATTTTCTGAATTATCAATATTTGCATATTAAGGCTACAGCAACATGTAGGCCTAACTTACAGGCAAGTGGTGATGCATTTGATCAGTAGCCTGCAATGACAAGCTTGGATATATTATAAGGATATCCTCATAAATACCAGAGTACTTAAGGTAATTAGGAAGTTCATCCTGGCCGGTCTGAAGGGTGTAATGACTAGACATTCAATGATGTGAGTGTCAATGATGTGAGAGTGTCAATGATGTGAGAGTGTCAATGATGTGAGTGTGTCAATGATGTGAGTGTGTCAATGATGTGACTGTGTCAATGATGTGAATGTGTCAATGATGTGAGTGTGTCAATGATGTGAGTGTGTCAAGGATGAGAGTGTGTCAATGATGTGAGTGTGTCAATGATGTGAGTGTGTCAGTGATGTGAGTATGTCAGTGATGTGAGTGTGTCAATGATGTGAGTGTGTCAATGATGTGAGTGTGTCAATGATGTGAGTGTGTCAATGATGTGAGTGTGTCAATGATGAGTGTGAGATCGACCTCTCCTCCTGAAATGATAGTTCTTAGAGTAATTATTTGGTCGAACTTACCAATATGTAGTGATGGACCGTCAGTATACTATATACTTTTTATAATATTAATTGTATAGTTTGAAAAAATAAAGCTAAAAACCGAAGTTAAACACTCCTATGTCGAGTATAATATATATATATATATATATATATATATATATATATATATATATATATATATATATATATATATATATATATATATATATATATATATATATATATATATATATATATATATATATATACATATATACATATATATATATATATATATATATATATATATATATATATATATATATATATATATATATATATATATATATATATAATTTCTTTAATTTTTGGAGAATGGGCCGACGAGATCATGACCCAGATCCTTATTATTATTAACATCTTTATTGACAAAATTAATTACAATTTTGCCTAATCTGAGGATTTTGATAGGTCTTATTAAAGTGAGGATAATGCTAGTATTCACTGTCACGCAGGACAGAGGGTCATACATAAGACAATAGGTCTAAACTGTAGGCTGAAGCACATATATATCATTGTTACAATCAATGTTTTAATGTATGGATACGTGAAAACAACTTTCTATTGTGCACTGCCACACAAGGGCAGGGATGGGTTCATAAGTGATACAGCTTAGAAGTAATATAAATAAAAATTGTTCTTCATTCTTTAAAATGGACAAGCAAATTTTGGGGAAATTGTTAGGATGTCGTCCAGAACACCTGAGTCAATAAAATAGTTACACAGTTGGTGGTACAAGAGGCCAGGAGGTCTAAAGTCCTCTACGGTTTCACATTCATCATTATAGTGTTCTAGTGAATGCATTAAAGGTTTATCACAGAGTTTACAATCTGAATATTCTGGTAGTGGCTCAGCCTCACTAACCTGCCAGATGTGTCTATAGCCAAGGCGAATTCGCGCAATGACTACATCACATTGCCTGGTCCGGTTACTGTGCTGACCATACAAATACCTATTATTACAAAACTTGTCATAACTTTTAATACTGCAGCTTTCAGGTCTCTGGGCATTTCTTAGTTCTTCTAAATCTGAATTAATTTCTTTAATTTGTATGTTTCTAATAACTGCATTAGATAGTCCAAAGTCATAATCAATGTTTTCTTTCCTGCAAGCCTCATTGGCCAATTGATCTACAAAGTCATGTTTTCCAACTCCAACATGGGATGGGATCCACACAAATTTTATACAAGAGTTATTATCATTGGCAAAAATTACATTCCATTTAATATTACAAGCTACTTCCGACGTATATTGTGGGTTATTTAAGGACTGCAGAGCACTTTTAGAGTCACAGAATATCACTCCACCACCATTGACCTTAAGGTATTCAGTGGCTAGATAAATACCCAATAGCTCGGTCTGTGTCGTGCTTGCCCAGTTGTTCAATCTCTGTGTACTAGTCATGATCATTTTATTCCCTTTATACACTGCACATGCACAACCTGTTCTACCAGTGCCTAACTGCACAGAGCCATCAGTAAAGGCATAGGATTCAGTCGGTTTGAGAATTTGAAGATGACTGTCAATAGCTTCCAATGTTATACATCTCAAAATGTCAGTGTTATACATTTGTTTTACACTGATGGGGGTATAATGCAGAGAGACCTCCACATCTTTCCAAGGGGGAATATAGTGAACAGTTTTATCAGGGTTAAGAGATACATTCAGTTTCTGAAGATTATAGGCACAACAACTGAGCCACACACTGTAGGGAGCTTTTTGCGGCGGATTGAGGGAACAGTCAGAATTGTTTAGAATGGATCTTAATTTAATTTGAATAGAGCTGGGGGGACCATTATTTTTCAAAGTTTTGGCGCAAAACATAGTACTAAGTAGAACTATTCTTTCGTAAATGGACCCAGATCCTGCTCACAGAGTTTGCACCTGGAGTGCTCGGACTGGGAGACCCGTCACCTGTAGCCACCTGCTGTAGGTAACGGCAACCCAATCTGATCCCAACAATGACTAAGTCGCCCTGTCGGTCTCATCGGAAAGCTGATTACTATAAAAGGGTTGACTGAAGCACCTTCACAGTTGATCTGCAATATTACAACATACGTAAGATGTGTTGATGTGTTGGAACTGTTTAAAGTATGGCTAAAATCGTATGGAAGTGACTGACTTGGTAAAAGTTTAACTTAATAAAGGTGGGACGGGGAAATTTAAATTACTGTATATTAGAGATGTTGTTGTTTGTTGTTGAAGAATCGCTACGTGGAACATGTAAGTTCCAAGCAGCACGGGCTATGGTGAGCCCGTGTATATTGAAGAGTAAACAGAAACCGGAAGATTAAATTCACTTAGTTGGAAGTTAAAGTTGAAAGATACAGTAGGATTAGAAAGACAAAAGATGCACACATTGGAGTGGGGTAGATGCAATCTCTTTTTGATGGGAAGAATGATATGAAACAGTACATGTGATGGTGTGTTGAACTGTATAACGTTAGCTTTAATCGATTTGCCCTCCTTGCCCTCTCTCCCTCTTCTACAAGGGATATTTTTTCAACTTCCACTGAAAATAAAGACATAACAGAGAACTTTATCTTATCAGTGATGACATATTGAACAAAGTTAATTGTAAGGAAGGAAAGATACATCTTGAGAATTGAATCGAAACTATGCACTGTTAGATAAGTATGCGTTCCGAATGCCCCATATGTGGTGATAGGTAAGTACTGATAGGTGAGTACTCTCACTCATCCTTCTCCTCACCCACATTCTGGTCATCCATTCGTGTGGAAGCATCCTTACCAGGCAGCCACACGTTCTCACCCGCTCATTAATCTGACCAGCCTCTCCAGGGGTCTTGACACACTCCCCCCTAAACATGGAGAAAATTTTTAATTAGCGCAAACTTTAGAGTAAACACAAACATGAAACTTAAATAGATATGTTGGAAGACCAAGATCTATTGAATTAGTAATATTCATAAGATATAAGATACACTAGGAGAAGGGCAAGATGAGTCAACTTTAGATGTAAGAGAGCTTTTATGGTCTCTATGTCATGTAATAGAACAACTATATGGATGTCGTACTGCTTAAAGTTGACTTAAATAGTTTAATACGCCAGAGAGCTTAAGATCATAAAAGGAAAAGATAATGATAGCGGGGAAGAGTAGTTTACTTTACTGAGACCGATATATATTCCTCTACCATTACATAGTGCATGGGAAGTGAAGACTAGTATAGATCTGAGATCTATAGCTAATCAGGCACGTCTTGAGAAATATATTTGGAAAGCACGGACAAGTAAGTACACATAGATGAATGACACACAGCTTACTCAATAACTATTCTCTCACTGGGAAAAAGAAATTTGTTAGTAGTTAGTAACAGTTGATTGACAGTTGAGAGGCAGGCAGAAAGAGCAGAGCACAACCCCCGCAAGCACAACTAGATGAATACACACACTAAGTACCTAAATGAACCACAGGAACGTTAGAAAGAACTTTTTCAGTGTCAGAGTAGTTAGTAAATGGAATGCACTAGGAAGTGATGTGGTGGAGGCTGACTCCATACACAGTTTCAAATGTAGATAGGATAGAGCCCAGTAGGCTCAGGAATCTGTACATCAGTTGATTAACGATTGAGAGGCGGGACCAAAGAGCCAGAGCTCAACCTCCGCAAGCACAACTAGGTGAGTACACTCAGTACCAGTTGATTGACAGTTGAGAGGGGGGACCAAAGAGCCGAAGCTCAACCCCTTCAAGCACAACTAGGTGAGCACATTTGAAGTAACAATGTGATTTCCCAGAGTACTGTTTATTTTTAAGTAAAATGAATTACAAATTTTATTTTGTAAGTTCGCCGTAAGAGAAAGAATGAGAAATAAAATAATAAGGTTATCACTCCCCAGCAGACATGAGGCATCACTCCGGCAATGAGATGGGTGCCGGCTTCTATTGCGGGAAATGTTGAGGTTAACATTGTTACAAAGGCATAAACCAGTTATTTATGGCAACATTAATGTATACGCATATAGTTTAGGAATGTATATCATATAACTTAAAATATATATAGAAAATAAATACATTTACGACGCCTAACAGATACGAATATGCAGGAAATACTTGACTACAGTGTTGCCATATCGAGCAGTGGTGGCCACTAGTGTACGTTGCTTACAGTCACTCAGTTTGTCATCGAGTGCGCAGTTGAGCACACAGATGTGCTCTCTTGGTTCAATGAAGCTGTAAGGAAACTGTTGCCTGCGCAGATAGACTACATCATGATACAGGAAGACAACACCGCCGCCACACAGGTGAGGGATGCCCTATCTTCATTGCTTATTCAGGGTATACCATCTCTGACCGCTGAGCATTCCCTGTGTTCAGCAGATAATCACCTGAAAAAAAGACTCCGTTTTCTTTGGTATGTGCATAAACTTAAGCACTAACTCCTTAAAACATTGTAAATTTTATTTTGCTAAAATACATTTACATATATATATATATATATATATATATATATATATATATATATATATATATATATATATATATATATATATATATATATATATATATATATATATATATATATATATATATATATATATATATATATATATATTTTATTTTATATATATATATATATATATATTTATTTATTTATTTATATATATATATATATATATATATATATTATCAGAAAATAGTAAGAAAGCGAGATCTGAAAAACAATAGACGAATGAATTATAAAGTTTTTCGCAAAAGATAATAACGACGCCCACTGGATGGGGTTCATGCTATAGAAACAGGAGATAGATGCAAATTTGTTACAGAAACTAAAGTTGCATAGCGTCAAGAAATTTGTAGTCATTCCTACAACACTCTGACTCCATTATTCTCCTGGCACAGTCCTGGGGATTATTTTCTTAACAAACTTGGGTACAGGCAAGAATATGTTGCTACCCTATTCTGAATGAGGTTGGATATGGTGCTCTAATAAATTATTTAAGCTAAAACTATGCAGTTAAATTATGTAACTAGCGCGTTAATGTTGTTCTACTGTCTTAGGTAAACGAACGTTGTGGTTTAGCTCCTGAGCCCCTCTTACCTATCGTCCACCGCTTATAGGATGAAGTACAAAATAAATTAACTAATATAATAGTGATTTCTATATGTACATTCTCCCAAAGTTAACAAATAATACTCTCTCACAAACTACATACAAAATTACCTTAATTTACATAATAATTAAAAACGCTTATGAGAGCATTATTGTGAATCATATATATATATATATATATATATATATATATATATATATATATATATATATATATACAATTTTGTCCCCATTGCTTCTGAGACGCTCGGCGCCTGGGGTAAAAGTGCTACCAGTTTTTTGAAGGAACTGGGTTCTAGGCTCATTGAAACAACAAGGGACCCGAGAGCTGCAAGCTTTCTTTTCCAGCGCCTCAGTGTGGCGATACAGAGGGGAAATGCGCACTGCATCCAGGGTTCCTGCCCGCCATCTGAGGAGCTGGAGGAACTCGACAACCTATGACAACCATCTTTGTAACCCATATGTAACTCCTTTTTTGTAACAAAGTTCAAATAAAGTAAATATATATGTGTACATACAAAAGAATGGGGGTGGTAGGAGAAGATAATATTAGTGTTCAGTGAGAGACCACAAGGTCTCCTCTGAATACTTTTTATTTTCTTCTCCGAGGCTATGGGTCCCCACATTGGCACCAGAGGTGGTACCCTCACTTATATGAAAAAAAAAAAAAAAAAAAAAAAATATATATATATATATATATATATATATATATATATATATATATATATATATATATATATATATATCATGGTATTTAATGACAATTGATAATCAGATAATCTATAACGTTTCGTTTATATTATGTTATCTAAAAATATTAATTTTAGCTTTTAATAATAATAATAATATTTTATTAACATACAAGGGATCGTTTTACAGTGATCACTAAAAATTTAAATGACTCTGCTCAGCGACTTGTATGATGGTCAGTTCTTGAAAAAACCTGACAGTGTTACCATAAAGAGATATTTTCCAAAGAGCTGTTTACCCAGCTTCTCGGTATATATACTACTGAGATATTGGTCTCAAACTACTTTGAGAACACAAATATACTTGCTGGTTAGTGAGTAAGTTAATATTACAATCTGATTAATCGTCACAGTTGGTAAGCCCTCAGGCTGATCCTAGGTGTTGCCATACCGAGGGGAAAGAATTATATTTTATCTTGGCCCGTACGTTTTTGGTAACGACAAATACGTTTTTGTAAAATCTAATACGTTTTCGTAAAAGCAAATACGTTTGATAGCGACAAAATCTAATTTGGTACGTTTTGAGCACATGTACTAGGGAAATATTACGTATGCTACTCACATTAGGAGGTTATATCTTCAATGCAGCTTCAATAATACTCAGTTTACTACGCCAAAAGTTACACGCCTTGGTCGACAACGTCAACATTTTTGTGCATTAAATTTTAAGAAAACACTAATTAGTTGTCAGTAAAGTGTGTGTTTCACCAGTACTCGACTAACAAAGGACCCGGGTTCGAACCCAGGGAGGGACAGTATCTGGTCTAGGGGGAGGGAAAGGGGGGACGGGAAGGGTTGTTGACTTCGATAGGCCAAAGCTCAATTTTCATGCCTCCAACATCAGAAATTATTAAACAGGATTTTTCGTATGTAAATTTCAGAAAATAAAAATTTTAGGCAAATATATTTTTGGAAAAAATAGACTGAATATATATATATATATATATATATATATATATATATATATATATATATATATGTAATATTTTCTTTTCTTTTTTAAATTCCTAAAAGGGGGATCCACCTCTGGTTCAAGTGTAGGGACAGCACACTGGACTTGTGATCCTGTGGTCCCGGGTTCGATCCCGGGCGCCGGCGAGAAACAATGGGCAGAGTTTCTTTCACCCTATGCCCCTGTTACCTAGCAGTAAATTAGGTACCTGGGTGTTAGTCAGCTGTCACGGGCTGCTTCCTGGGAGTGGAGGCCTGGTCGAGGACCGGGCCGCGGGGACACTAAAAAGCCCCGAAATCATCTCAAGATAACCCATAGCCTCGGAGAAGAAAATAATGAGTTCTCAGAGAAGACTTGTGGATCCTCACTGAACACTTTGATATTTTTTCCCCTACCACCCCTATTCTTTTAATGTGTGTGTGTATATATATATATCTAAATTTATTTTAAAATTTCATTACACAAAAAGGGTTACAACATTGGTTACATGCAAGGTACAAGACTACTTGTCACAAGTTGTAGAGCTCCTCCAGCTCCTCAGATGGCGGGCAGGATCCATGGATGCAGTGAGCATTTCCTCTCTGGATCACCACACTATGTATAGTAGTGGTGATCTTATGTATATATATATATATATATATATATATATATAAAAGTTTGTGAGGGTACCACCACTGGTGCCAATGTGGGGACCCATAGCCTCGGAGAAGAAAATAAAAAGTATTCAGAGGAGACCTTGTGGTTTCTCACTGAACACTAATATTATCTTCTCCTACCACCCCCATTTTTTTGTATGTACATATATATATATATATATATATATATATATATATATATATATATATATATATATATATATATATATATATATATATATATATATATATATATATATATATATATGAATAATGAAAACTCACACCCCAGAAGTGACTCGAACCCATACTCCCAGGAGCAACGCAACTGGTAACTACAGGGCGCCTTAATCCACTTGACCATCACGGCCGTCAAAAGGAAGTGATAGCCAAGGCTATTTGAGCCACTTCCCCGACGGCAACTCGGATGGTAATCTTGGGCATAGCATTTCACCAAATCACCTCATTCTTTTTGGCACACGTGAGGAACACAAATGCGAACAAGCCTGAATGGTCCCCAGGACTATATGCGAATGAAAACTCACACCCCAGAAGTGACTCGAACCCATACTCCCAGGAGCAACGCAACTGGTAACTACAGGGCGCCTTAATCCACTTGACCATCACGGCCGTCAAAAGGAAGTGATAGCCAAGGCTCAAATAGCCTTGGCTATCACTTCCTTTTGACGGCCGTGATGGTCAAGTGGATTAAGGCGCCCTGTAGTTACCAGTTGCGTTGCTCCTGGGAGTATGGGTTCGAGTCACTTCTGGGGTGTGAGTTTTCATTCGCATATAGTCCTGGGGACCATTCAGGCTTGTTCGCATATATATATATATATATATATATATATATATATATATATATATATATATATATATATATATATATATATATATATATATATATATATGTTAGTATATTTTGGTAGCAGTCTTTCCTGTAGACATATATTATTAAATATGACCGAAAAAGTAAGATCAATAATTCTAACACGAATTTTCTCGATCTTTCGTACATTCCTTTTCACTGTTGGTGGTAATTCAAAAATCAATTCTCCAAAATTCATTTTTATTTCTAGTCTGACGCGACACTTGAGTGCGTTTCGTAAAACTTATTACATTTTCAAAGACTTTAGTTTACACATACACAACTGAATAGAACTTACACATCTCCGATTTGTATATATCTACATTTGAGTGAGGTGGATGGGGTGAGGTGGTTTTAATAGGGTATTCAATTCATCAACACAAGACAGAACACGAAACAATGGGTATTGAATGGAAGTGATTGTAGAAAGCCTATTGGTCCATATTTCTTGATGCTTCTATATTGGAGCGGAGTCTTGAGGTGGGTAGAATATAGTTGTGCATTAATTGGCTGTTGATTGCTGGTGTTGACTTTTTAATGTGTAGTGCCTCGCAAACGTCAAGCCGTCTGCTATCGCTGTATCTATCGATGATTTCTGTGTTGTTTACTAGGATTTCTCTGGCGATGGTTTGGTTGTGGGAAGAGATTATATGTTCCTTAATGGAGCCCTGTTGCTTATGCATCGTTAAACGCCTAGAAAGAGATGTTGTTGTCTTGCCTATATACTGGTTTTTTTGGAGCTTACAGTCCCCAAGAGGGCATTTGAAGGCATAGACGACGTTGGTCTCTTTTAAAGCGTTCTGCTTTGTGTCTGGAGAGTTTCTCATGAGTAGGCTGGCCGTTTTTCTGGTTTTATAGTAAATCGTCAGTTGTATCCTCTGATTTTTGTCTGTAGGGATAACGATTCTATTAACAATATCTTTCAGGACCCTTTCCTCCGTTTTATGAGCTGTGTATAGGTGTTGTGTTAGTTGTCTCTTCAGAGGTTGCATGGCGTTTCACTTTCCTTCTTATGATGTCTTCGACGAAACCATTGGAGAAGCCGTTGTTGACTAGGACTTGCCTTACCCTACAGAGTTCTTCGTCGACTTGCTTCCATTCTGAGCTGTGGCTGAGAGCACGGTCGACATATGCGTTAACAACACTCCTCTTGTACTTGTCTGGGCAGTCGCTGTGTGCATTTAGGCACATTCCTATGATCGTTTCCTTAGTGTAGACTGCAGTGTGGAAACCTCCGCTCTTTTCAGATGTAACAGTCATGGAACTGAGGTCAATGTAGGTGTTAGCCAGGGTTGATACGCACGTGTAGTCCCATACCAATTGCTTGCCATTCTTCCAGGGGTTCGCTGTGATACCATCCGGGCGACCAATAAGGATTTTTTTTTGTTTTTTGAAAAACAAAAAAGGAGTTACATATAGACTATCTACGGGGCTATATACATATAACCCCGTAACTCTGATGCTCTTATTGGTCGCCCGGTTGGTATCACAGTGAACCCCTGGAAGAATGGCAAGCAGTTGGTATAGGACTACACGTGCGTATCAACCCTGGCTAACACCTACATTGACCTCAGTGTTGCACAACCAGGTGGCGCTGCCACCCATAGGGAAGCAGGCAAATCCCGTAAGTATAGAGAACTGGACCACCACTACAATTTTGTCCCCATTGCTTCTGAGACACTCGGCGCCTGGGGTAAAAGTGCTACCAGTTTTTTGAAGGAACTGGGTTCTAGGCTCATTGAAACAACAAGAGACCCTAGAGCTGCCAGCTTTCTTTTCCAGCGCCTCAGCGTGGCGATACAGAGGGGAAATACGCACTACATCCAGGGTTCCTGCCCGCCATCTGAGGAGCTGGAGGAACTCGACAATCTATGATAACCATCTTTGTAACCTATATGTAACTCCTTTTTTGTAACAAGGTTCAAATAAAGCAAATATATATGTGTACATACAAAAGAATGGGGGTGGTAGAAGATAATATTAGTGTTCAGTGAGAAACCACAAGGTCTCCTCTGAATACTTTTTATTTTCTTCTCCGAGGCTATGGGTCCCCACATTGGCACCAGAGGTGGTACCCTCACAAACTTTATATATATATATATATATATATGTCGTACCTAGTAGCCAGAACTCACTTCTCAGCCTACTATTCAAGGCCCGACTTGCCTAATAAGCCAAGTTTTCATGAATTAATATATTTACTATAATTTTTTTCTTATGAAATGATAAAGCTACCCTTTTCACTATGTATGAGGTCAATTTTTTTTTATTGGAGTTAAAATTAACGTAGATATATGACCGAACCTAACCAACCCTACCTAACCTAACCTAACCTATATATATAGGTAAGGTTAGGTTAGGTAGCCAAAAAAAGCTAGGTTAGGTTAGGTTAGGTAGGTTAGGTAGACGAAAAAACATTAATTCATGAAAACTTGGCTTATTAGGCAAATCGGGCCTTGCATAGTAGGCTGAGAAGTGAGTTCTGGCTACTAGGTACGACATATATATATATATATATATATATATATATATATATATATATATATATATATATATATATATATATATATATATATATATATATTTACATCAGGAGCAATCTTAAGTTAGGAAAAAATTTACTTAAGGAAAAATAATTATTTTAGGAAAAAATTTAGTTTAGAAAAACTTTTATATTTTTGCTATTATTTTATTAAAAAAATATAATAGGAAAAAACTATGTAAAGAAAATATCTACTTAAGAAAAAAATATATATTTTTAGCAAAATTCCATCCCAATCTACGTTCTCAGGCACTGGTGTCCGCGGTCAGGAATGGGGACAAAGATGGAGTAGAGACAGCCATCCACTCCGGAGGGGACATCCACACCTCCGTTCCCAGGGACGATCCGGATGTCCCCGGGGGCTCCCTGTTGACTCTCGCTGCCTATCGGGGTTGTACTAGCGTGGTGCCCGTTCTCCTCAGCGCTGGTCACCACGTGGACAGCAAGGGAGCCTTCCCTTACACGCCGCTCCAGGTAGCAGTGCATTGCGGCCATCAGCAGATCGTCACCACTCTCATCGACGCCCACGCTGATGTCAATGCCAAAGACCAGCATGGTGAGTATCACATACAGGTCAACATGGTGAGTATCCCACATGTCAAAAGATCACCCAAACCAAGGAACTTTACCAGCAACAACATATTCAAGGCATTACAACACTGGCTGGACTAAACAGGTGTATAGCAGCATAAATTCAACCCTAGGCCTGTAAACTCGACTCACAGTCGAAAATCCTAGGTTCGATCCCCTGGATGTGACAAATGCCCGGGAACGTTTCTTCTCATTTGATGCCCCCTGTTAGCGTAGCAGTTGAATTGGTACCTGGGAGTGAGAGAGCTGTTATGGATTGCATTCTGCGGCAGGTCAGTTGTTGACCTTGGGGAGATCTCAGTAGGCCTAAGTACCAGCTTCCTGTCCCCGACAACGGAAATTATTATTAGTAATATTATAACTATTATGATCAGTGATAGGCCATTGGTAGTCATTTGTATAATTGTAACGGCTGATTCTCTCCTTCCCTCCCCCTCTCACCTCCCCCCCCCCCCCTTCGCCCATTTCTCAAGGGCCAAGAGGTTGACCTGTGGGTGGTCTTGCTAGCTAGTCCTCGTGATGCCTATGCTCCCCCACTCAATTCTCCCCACTCTCAATTCCATCTCCATTCACCTCCTAATATCCTCTCTTCCCCTCTCACCAGTTCCTCCCCCATACCAGCGAGTCAAATGTCCCAACCTTTTATCTGGGAGGATACAAGCTTGAACATAATTCATCAGTTTCCATAAACATTGCTCTGATGGGCCCCAGGCTCGGGTAGTCCACTACAGTGGCACCTTGTCCCTTTCGCATTGCTGGAATAGCTGACTCAATCTTCGAGAATTTCATGTATCCTTCCATGGCAGATCATGGAAGGTGATTGGCGGTAGATAAGTGCCAAGTCCTTATTGGCCCTGGAGAGCCAGACCTCAGGCCTAGTTTTAAATGGTTGGCCGGAGCCAAAAATGGTGGGTGGAGCCTTGGGGCTGTATTAGATTGTGGGAGGAGCAAATCCTTTCCACCGGTAAGCTGGTGAAATAAAATTTGACCAGTGTGTTCTGGGAGTGTGTGGGGGAATAGGAACTCGGTCCCGCATCAAAGGGACTGAGGGCAGCCATCGACATCTTGACCTCAGTGTGGTTTTAAGGTATTGTGCACTTGAGTATTCATGTCCTTGGTAGATATCCATTTTGCTGCTTAGGGATAATAAAGTAGGGTATATGTTCATTTGATTTCAATATATGTTTAAATTAAATAAAGGGATAAATTGGTTTTGTTATTTAGTTGTCCCTTTTGTTATTAAAGTTTTGCAGTTCTATTGCAGTATATATATATATATATATATATATATATATATATATATATATATATATATATATATATATATATGTGTGTGTGTGTGTGTGGTATTTGGAAACCCCCATGTTCTCCTCCATTTAATGGATATTAAAGTTACCCTTGGACTTAAATAAGCAAAGTAAATTGAACAAACTAATTCCCAAGATTTATTACTGGAGTTCCTATTGCCCGGAAGTTCCACGATTACTGATTCCTTGCCTTCCTGGGGGATCGGTGATAGATACATTCAGATAAGGTTGATCGGGAAGGTGGTGGCAGTGTCTAATGAGTTGTTAATTATTAGTTATAAATTAATAATCCCTATTCTTGTTGTGTCCTTCTCATGTAATATTCAGCTTATATTCGTGGCAGTTCAGTGAGGGGGGGGGGGTTCATACGAACTGTAACAGTGTTAAGCTGGGGCTTTGAGTGAAGAAGAAGTAAAGATTCATGACTCCCCGCTCTCTCCGGAATTAAGAAATTCGTGTGTAAAGTATTTTAACGCACAAACTTCTTATCCCGAAAATCCTGCCTTTCCATAACCAATTAACACTAAAAACAACACTTTTAATCCAACAATATCTTAACCCAGGTAGTCATTTGTATAATGAATGTGCTTTATCTTATATAAATGGTCAGTTATAAATGCATAATAATTATTGAATAAAACAGTACTTAGAGTATATGCACATATCGGCGCCAAGACTTCATTCACAAATGGTGATACTTCCAGTCCGATGAGCCCATTCGGGTCATGGCTTCTTCCTGGGTCGAAGTACCTGATTGGCTACTGGCTGAGTCGTTCTCTCACTCTTGGTATCATATTCCAGCTTTCTCTTTTCATGTCCCAGATAGCCTGTCCTCACCTCCCAGCTCTTAGTCTGTCCTCACATCCCAGCTCTTAGTCTGTCCTCACGTCCCAGCTCTTAGTCTGTCCTCACATCCCACCTCTTAGTCTGTCCTCACATCCCACCTCTTAGTCTGTCCTCACATCCCAGCTCTTAGTCTGTCCTCATATTCCTCATCTTTGTCCTCGTATCCCTTCCAAGTATCACTTGTTCATACTAGCTAAGCGTTTAACCTTAATACTTATCACATCTACACTTTAGGGGTGACCTCGCTGCACCTGGCTGCGAGACGTGCACGTACGTCCTGTGCGAGAGCTTTGATCAACGCAGGAGCCGACTTGGATGCTCAGGACAGCGCTCTGCGCACCCCTCTACATGTCTCTGTCTTGAGTTATTCTACCGATAACACCGAGGTTATGAAACTGTTATTGGACGCAGGCTGCAACTACCGAGCACTCAATAACACTGCCTTCACGGCAATGCACGTGGCGGCCTTGTCCGGAAATGAAAAAGCTGTTCAGGAACTGTGCATGGCCGGTTTGAACCCGGAGGAAAGGGACGAGTTCGGACTGCTGCCGGAGGACATAGCCGAGGCCTGGGGCAAGCACAACACAGCTTGGCTCCTGCGCAAGATGCCCCAACGCACGAAGAGGACTTCTCCCAAACCTATACTACAAATGTTGGTAAGTTATACAGTAGATTGATGACGAGATCCTTCTTTCATCTGTGCACACCTCTTTTCCCACATTATACAGGAACGGCCCGCATTTCGCACGCATGAAATGCAAGATATGTAATAATATAATATTTTGTGTCACTGTTGCAAAATTAATATAATTAATAATATTTTTTTAAGATAATTAATCCATCCGATTGGATTAGTCGGAACGTTGCATGCAGGTAGGGATTCGATCCCCGACTGTCCAAGTGGTTAGCCACCATTCCTTCAGCCCTTCCTCGAATCCCAATTCCTTGTCCTTATGTGCTATAAAGTCATACTGGTTTACCGCTGTCGCCTCCTTCGTCACCTTAAGGATTGCATCCATAATGAATGTGTTAAAATTGCCTCCATATCTAAGGGTCTTCCCATATACGAGAAATGAACCCAATTTGTATTTTCAGAAGAGAAGTTGGGATGAATACGAAGCTGAAGGTGTGAAGACTTTGAGTTGGGTACACGACGGAAACTTCGTATTAATTAAAGAAAATGTCCCCGAGAACCGTGATGGACATTATCAGGACAGTGAGGGTCTGACAGCTCTCCACTGGGCAGCCAAATTGGGCCATAAGATTATGGTACATACTCTGATCGACACGTGTGGGGCCGTGCCCAGTGTGGTGACCTATGATGGGCAGACTCCAGCTGACCTGGCACGGATGGCATCCCACGAGGACCTGGCAAGCACCATCATGGAAGCTACGCACCCTCAGGTTTGTAATGTTTGCTCTTTTTATTTAATTGTTGACCTTTTCCATTACTGTCATACTTTAATGAAATGGGGATAAAATGTTATGTCAAGACTGATTGTTTTGAGACCTGACTGCATGCTATTTTGAACCCTGACTGCTAGGATCTTGCTACAAATAGCAGTAACAGCTGTTGACGATAAGAACGATCATAGTCCATCCCAGGATCAAAGTATCATGAATAAATCTTGAGGCTTTACAATGGGATCGAACCCGCTCCTCAGAAGTCCTTAGGCACACGCCTGGGCCATGATTCCTGGGTGATTCATTACATTTTTGTTGTTTCATTGAGTATTGAAGGGTAGGGGGGGGGTCGATGGGGAACATTACTACAAACACAGTGAAACTATGTTAATGTAATTTCATTATTATATCATATATCATTCTATTTTGGTGTTCATATTCCTCAGTATCATATATCATCTATTCTGACGGTCTTCATTTTTTTCGTGGATATTCCTGCACTGGCCCCAAGCCTCTGGCTGGCCCATTTAGTGTTACTTGTTTCTAGATGTTGTTTTAGGCGGCTGGTGAGTATTGATGTCTCGTAAAAACTTATGACTCGCATGGTGGCTTTAGTTAGATGATGTAGATCACGTGTCTGAAGTAGAACACGTAAACACTGACGCTGTGTGTGTGTGCTTGCGGCTGATATACGAGATCTTCCAGGCTGGCGTGTCCGCTCCAGCGCTCTACAAGGAACTTTTGATGGTGATCAGCGCTGGTGACGACGTGGCGGAAGCCTCTCGGCTGCTGCGCTCAGGAGCGCCGCTCGAGCCCGTGGGGGACTTCTACACCAGCGCCCTCGTCCTCGCCGTCACCTGTAATAGGCCGAGGATCCTGAGTCTTCTGGTGGCAGCTGGAGCACCACTCACCACCTGCTCTGGGGGCCTCTCTCTCCTCCAGCTGGCCTGGCGTTCACATGACGTTACCATCCGGCTTCGCGTTCTCGTCACCAGGGTAAGTTGAAGGAGTTACTTAAACCAAATTAGTAGTAATTCCTCAGTTACTTGTTTCTTAGCAAGTAAAATATCTATAATTATTTATGTGTATATAATTTCACCTTGTAATTAAAAATAAATTTCGGCTAACTATTGTTTGAGAACTTTAGTTTAAGATTACTCACAGAAATCATAATTGCGTAATGCATCAATGAACAAATCCACAAAGGCCCTTGTGGATTTGTTCATTGATGCATCACGCTATTGTGATTTCTGTGTGTAATGAAGTAAGGGCGAAGAGGTAGAATGGCCTATTGACATAATACGAGTACATGGGGGAAGTTGTGTTTGTGCCTCAGAGAGGCTGTAGATCCAAGTAAGTTCAATAGAACTTCTGGTTTCAACTATTTTTTAACCATGTCGTAGCTCAGTCGATCAAGGCATTCGAACCTCAGACATAGGTTCGAATCCTCGTCACGGCCCTTCTGACGCGTCCACTCTTCAAAGAGAATTGGTTGCCATAATCCTTGCACTCGAGCGCAAATATAAATCCAAAGTTGACACGCTAATTGTAAGTGACTCCTTGTCATCCTTGACGGCCCTCAGCTCCCCAAGGCATAACTGTGACGTGCTTATCTCTGAAGCTAGACACAGATATAATAAAATAATCAATGATGGAATCAGAGTTTGTCTTCTGTGGATTCCTTCCCATATTGGTCTCCGAATGCATGATAAAACTGATGAGTTGGCCAAGACTTTTGCTCGTAAAGAGGGAATTGATTACCAACTTGGACCACCTTTGAGCAGTCTGAGGGGAGTAATATTCCGGGAACATCAACTAAATTTCCGAGACTTGAGGCAAAGTGAAATTCACACCAGT